GGGGTTGGGGAAGGGTTATGTTAACTGGAGCAGGTCATGGAGCCGGAGAAATGCGTCAAGTGGGAATGGATTACTTGGGAGGAGATGAAGATGGCGGTTGAGCGGCAGATGGAGGCGGAGCGGTTGGGACAGATGGCGGGGTTTGAGGGGAGGGTGTTGTTTAAGCCGATTTTGAAGTTGTTGGAGCAGAGGAGGGGGTTTGATCCGTTGGAGGTTTATCGGTCTGCGGGGGTTTGAGTGAATGGGAGATAGAGTCTATTGAGTAATCCTGGGTTCTATGTATGGGTGACTACCCTAGCGCAGCATTAAACAAGCTGGGAAATAACGACCTCAGCTCTTCAAGGTTCTGTATCGTGTACGGTGATGCTGGCGTTTGCGGTGCATGAGCCATGGGTTCGATCAGGTGGATGGCTTTCCAGCCTCGCTCGGAGGCTTGTTTGCAGTTTAGATATGAATCATCTACGATTATCAGCATCCCACACGGCCCCTGGATCAATAAAGGCAACGGGACACAAAGAAAGGGGTACATACCCACAAAATAACACCCCTCCGTCCCCAGCGCCCCCGCCTCCCTCTCCGCCTTCTCATACATCTCGCTACTCGGCTTTCCCACCAACGGATGGCAAGCATAATCACAATACGTGATGCCCTCGAACAGATCCTCCACCTGGAGGAGCTTCACAACCCGCTTCGCATGAGTGATATAAGCGTTCGTGAAAAGCCAGAGCTTGACTTTGGTTTTGTCGATAGCTAGAAGGAGTTTCCGGAGTTGTGGATCTGGTGTAATCAATTTCTCTAGGGGTAAGGCGTCGTCGACTTCTTGGTTGAATACGAGGGGAGTGATGTTGTGGTGGCGCGAGAGACCGTCGATGGTGAAGCCGTACTCGCGGTGGTATTTTTGGTGTAGGATGCGGGCTTCGCTGGGGGTAAGGGATAGGTGGGTGATGAAGAATTGGCCTGGACGTGGAATAGGGTTAGATGGAGTGGGTTGGGTGAATGGGAGATGGTGAGACGGACGGATGAGCTTTGTCATTTCTTCTTGGACGTTGCAGGCTAGATGCTTTTAGTAGATGTAGGTTTGGATATGGGAAGGGTGGTACCTCGGGAATAGAGCTGGTTGATGGGGATTGTTAGTCCATGGAGGTTGAGAAGTGTAGCGACTTACACAATTATCGATATCGAAGAAGAAAACTATCCGCGAATCAGGGCTCGCAGGGTTCCCGGAAGGTATCATGGTATATGATTGCCAGCTGTAGGTTTATGAATAAGCGCAATCAGGACAGTGATTGACAGAAAGAAGTGTCTATCTATAGGAGTACTGCCTGGAGCACAATCCATATATATGATCTTCGATAAGACCCGCCTAGTCCTAATCTGGTGCCCGACGTCTTGGCCTTTTAGCGTCTTTGATACGGTTTCTATCTTCGTAGTCGCCCACTTTAAGTATATTTCAGTGCCGCAACTGCGTTGCTCATTCGTGGAATGGCTTTGTCCAAGATGGAGAACAAGGATTCGAGTCACACGAATTCCTGTAATACCTTGAATTTCTATTCGGCATTTCTGTCTACCTCAATGCAGCATAGAATGCTCCGACTCTGCCCCATCCTAGCACCCGACCATAGCAGTTCCACGCTTCCTGGGCCTCTTGTTCAAAAGAAGTGTGACCATGTCCCGGTTACCTCTCCGCAAGGCTAAATACTGGGGTGTAGGTAGAGATGAAACTCCTGCGTTGACATCGAACCCATTCTCAAGCAAGATCCTCGCCACATCCAAATAGTTCCAGAACGCGGCCGTCTGGAGGGCATTCCCAAAAAGCGACGTTCCATCGAGTGATGCTCCTCTAGAGAGCAAAAACTCTACTACGGATGGATGATTGCCGATGACCGCTGCCATCAGAGGAGTGTTCCCACCTAGTGTCGAAGAAGAAGACTTCTGATTGATGTCGTGGCCATAGTCAAGGAGAAGCTGCACGACTTCCAGATGACCATTCACGCAAGCGGTCTGCAGCATCGGTCCGCACACTGTATCTTTCACCGTGGCCCCCTCTTTCAACCATGCCTCCACAATCCCTGCATGGCCGGCTATCACGGCTTCATCCAGGAAGACGGAAGAGGGTTTTGCTCCCCAATCCATCAGCATATCTGCAATATCTAAATTCCGGTGCTCAATGGCCATTCGAAGGAGACTGTCCGAAATCCGCGTAAGATGACCTCCCGGGCGGGCAGCATGGCGAAGAAGCATGTCCATGATATGCATGTTACCTCTTTGTACTGCGAGATGCAGTGGCGTATATGTCAAATCACCCAACCAGAGTCCTGATACCCGGCACAGCCATTTCTCAACAAGCCACTCTTCACTCCTAGAAACCGCGCCCCAGAGCGCCTCATCGGATTCAGATGCGTCAAACCGACCTAATTTATTAAGTGTGAGTATGATATCAGAATGATGCTCCCATGCTGCGTGAAAAATAGAGAATTTTCTAATCTTTCGGTCGCGGAAAATAAAGCCCCAAGCTAATTCGACATGGGTTTCGTCCAACGTGCCTTCCGCAAAGAGGGACTCAACTGTGGTCTCTGTTGCGTTCAGAATGTGTTCTGGTGTAGGGTCTTCTCCGAGTGCAAAAATTATGCTCGCAAGGCGCATGATATCACCGGGCGGAAACCTCCACTTCACCTCAGCATATAAATCTGATGGTTGCAGCTCATCGGGCAGGATTGGTGATTTGCTTCCTGTGTCTGAGACTGGTGCCGAGGGGCTGCCAGTGTCAACAGCCGGCGGCACTTCATCCTGTGAGTTGCTGTTCGTTGGCGGTGTTTCCGTGACTTGAGTGTCTTCATTATCACGTTGGCTCTCTTCGGTGTGTGTCTCAGGCACATCGACATCTGCATCCGCTGCCTTGGACAGGTGGTTACTATCCTCAAGTAGGAGTCCGCTAAAATCGACCCTCTTTTTCTTATTGAAATGCAAAAGTGGCTCAAGAAAGGGATATGCGACAATGCCGTTTACTACCAACTGCAAGATATAAATTGCACAAGATGATAGTGATATTATCTGTAGTGATGCCTTGAAGAGGCTGGGAGTTGCTGGGGAACTGTCGTAGTTCTGAAAATTGACACATCATTCTGGTCAGTCATCACAGGGCACGTAACTACTAAGGGATACATACAATCGGTTCATGGTCCACTCGACCACGATAACCATCGGACGCTAGGAACAACAAAATTTGTAAGGTCAGGACCATAAAGGTCGAAGTTATAAGAAAGAGTGCATTGCATAGAATTAAGCACCATATAGCGAACGGCAATTGATGAGACATAGCGATCAGGAGGTTCACATCGAGGGACATGGTGGCTTCATCTCGCGAAGGGTGTAATTTTTGGTCCAACGGAAGGAGTGCTGAACCCATTTCAAGGGAGCAGGCAACATGATAAGTTTTCGAAATCATCCCAACATCTCCATGATCAACGACCTGTTCTTCGCTGTTCCGAGATGTTGGATAAGCGCCGATTCTATTTTGAGGTCCACAGGTGCATGTGGGCGGAACGTGTTGCCAACTAAGTCCCCCTGGCGCTTAGATGGCTCCACAGCTTGGCTGCAAGGAATCTATACATTCGTGGATATTTTAGGAAAGTACGAGTGGTCATCCTCGGACGCTCGCACCTCCTCTATGGCTGGATAATAGGTGATTTCAGTGACTCAAGCCGTCTCATGTGTAGTGCTCTTCGATAGTTTACCAGCCTTGCGAATGTGGATCACCTCCGGCGTCACGCCGCGATAAGATGTTTCGAAGTGGAGCACCAGGTGCATAAACCACGTTGACCGTGTTCCAATGAGATTAGCCTGAAGTTTAGGCGCTTCGAAGACATGAGACCGCCCCCTGTTTCCCGAATGTCGCTGCTTGGTTGACAATACTCTGCCCATGAGAATATGACTACGAATCGCCGACTCGTCCGATATTCCTAAACCTAGACTGCCTATCAATAGATGAAAATTGATTTTTCGCGCGAGGCTGAGCTCACTACCCTCTTCCATCTTGATGTTACATGTGAAAGACATGCTGGCAGTAATCATATAGGTTCAGGCAGATCAACCATTCCCCATAATTACTAATTCCCTCAAACCTTACATTCACGAGCACTAGTCTTTTTTGGCAATGTTTGAATCTATAGTTTCAGGTCTGGCTTTCAAGACATTTCCCTGAGTAAGGGGTTAGATCATCAAGTTAGGCTGAATCCTCGGAACTAGAAGCTAAGGTAGCTGGGGGTCAAGTATTTGTTGACCTATTCTGGTTCGATAATGCGTCGGAACTTAAGAGCACTGCTTATTCGTTAGGCAACCACAAAGGGTACCATGTACGTCAGATGTTCTCGAGAGATAGCGACCTGAAATTTACTTGCAACTAACAACAACAAAAGAGATAGAATCAAATGAAACACCGATACAGTGACATAACTCAGAGCAATACAGGATCATTATCAAGAATCAGAGTGCTGAAGCGGCAAGTACGCAAGCAGGAATAAAACATCAGCCACCCAGTCTCCACACCCCGGCACTATCCTCGGACAGCAATACATTGGACCGTGCCATGGCTATCAATAACCTCAGCCATGCTGAAATTGACCTTCATGTGCTTGCACTCGGCGAAATCCGCCGCCGTGGCAAAAGACACATCCACACCGTTCTGGACCTCCGCTTCGTCCAGCAACACGGCAGCCTTCGGGTAGAAGTCCTGGAAATCGAAGACTTTGTGCTTCCATCCCTTCGGCACAATCTTCATCAGCTGGTAAGCGAACACGATGTCATTCTCACTCTTGGCCTGACGCTTATCCGACTCCTTGACGAAGACCTTGTTGTTCGTCCCAATGGTGACATCGCCAACAACGGTACCCGCAGTGCCAGCCGAAGCTCCACCATTTGCTTCTCTAGACCGAGAGTGGCCTTCAGATGCACGGAACCCCTTCGCGATCTTGATGCCCGTGACCATGTAAACTGGCTTGGAGAACGGGCTATCGAGGCGCATCATCTCCCGCAACATCGGGTCCTGGGTCCGTCTGGCGATTTCTTCCGCGGAGGGCTCCTCCTTGAAGTAGCTCGTTGTCAAGGACTCGACATTGTACTCTGCGCTGAGGGACTTGGTGCTCTCCAGGCCGAGGTCGACACCCATGGCCTCGAGGAAGTGGGTCCAGATGCTTGTCTTCATGCCGAGTTCTCTTTCTTGATGCATCTCCCATTCGGTTTCGACTACTGTTTCGATCTCGGGTGGTGGGATGGCCGGGTCGGGCTTGGTTAAGACACGGTGGGGTCTGAATGGATCGACGATGATGTTGCCGAGGGCAATGGGGCCATCAGGACGAAAGTCCCATCTTGGTGCCAGGACGTATGTATACACGCGGCGATGCATGATGTGGATGGATGAGGAGTATTGACTGGAAATATGGGTATAGATGATATATAGAAGAAGATAGATGATTTCGAATTGAGTGAGAAATGTAGAGTACAGACGAGATGAAGAGAGAATTGTAGAATATAGATCTACGGACAAACGGGTTGGCTTTATATGTGTTGGTAGGACTTCTCAATTGACGACGATGGGCCCCGGTGTCGGTCGATGAAACCCCGAGTGTGTATCGACAAGTTGTCCAGGGCGCTTAGACTTGGCGAGTCAGAATCAACAGACAGTACAAGCTATGCTGTGGGACATAAAATTACCAATTAAAACCCAGCGGCGATTGTGGATGGATTTCCCAACTGCGTCAAAGACTCACAAACTCGCCAGCTGATGGTCCAGACAGCACCCGCGGAACGCACCGTTCGTAAGGCTGGCGCATCTCAAAACGCGCCAACATTCTGGCCAATGACTTTCGATCTTGTGAACTTGCTCCTGCAGCGCGTAAGTATCGCAGGGATTCTAGGCTATTAATATCCAGCCAGCACTATTAATAGCCGGACATTGCTACCCCTCACCATGATGTTGATGCTCTTGATCAGCGCTAGTTGCAGTATGCTGATTGGCTGATACCTTGGATCGTAGCACCCGCGTTGATTGGCCAACGACATATGTTATGAAGCTAATGCTATAAAACGCAGCAATGTGGCACGAACGGAGTGGCGCAGCTATAAGAGACCTGCTTGGCTAGCATGTTGTTCGGATGTTTACAGGAATATGGATATTGGATATCGGAATAAAGGAGGACATACTACTCAGCGATGATACAATTGCCTCATTGCTAGGGAATTTTCCGAATAAGAAAGGTGAATAGACTCTATATTCCATTAAATGAAGGAATGTAGCATACGCCATCTCCAACCTGCATCCTCTACCATATCGTCATCTGCAAGGGAGGAAGCCTCCATGACAAGATGAAGGCAGTGCTCGAGCAGCCTTGTATCTGAACTTGGTTGTTGATAAGAAGTAACGAGGTAGAACTTGCATCACTATATTGTTCACGAACGTGAGGAAACCATAATAAGTGCTGCAACTGGAAGCGCTTTCGAGTATATGTGTTTTCCCTGTCAATTGTATCAAGCATGAGATATTTTCGGCCAGATTGTGTAGCTAGACATGCCTCATCTCTCATCAGGAATTATCCAGAGATAGAGAAGGACATTTTCTATACATCCCAGTCAGGACATGTGCCTGAAACCCCATCTATCAAGCCCAATATCAGCCCATGGATGTCTAAAAGAGAGTCCGCATTGCCAACATGAACATGATCACAGCGCGTGAATGACACAAACACGCTGACTGGTCAAACGATCATCGTCATCCCGCTCTACAGTTGTACCCCAGCCCGCTAGACGAGTATATGAAGCGAGTGAAGGAGAGTGACTGCGTGATTAATGTTGATATTCTACCAGATGTTTTACAGTTCGTAGAGGAACTTCCCTGTGAGCGGACAATGCTTTAGGCTGTAGTTGGGAAAGATGCGACCGCGGCGTTTGATGGCGATGTGGATTCTTATTCTTGATGCCGCGCGTAAACCTCCTATCTATGATGCGAGTGTGGCTTATTCAGGGTAGCTGTGAGGTCTAGATTTGGGAGAGGTGGTAGAATAAGGGTTGGATAGTTTGAAATGATGAATTGCTTAGAAATTGGATGATAGGGAAGAGTTCTAGTTAGGGTTCATCCCGAATAGGAAACCCAGAGGTTCAACTCTTCATCTCGTGTCCGTATGCGGGAACCGTCTTTGTTCCGCCTCCCCGCATCTCGTAAACAAGCATCCACCTGGTGAGTATCAAGAAACAAATAGGTCTAGCCAGGACGATAAGTGTCCCGAGGCATATTGTTTAATAAACATCCCGAGCGTCTAGACGGGTCATGACGGCATACAAAGTAACCTTCAGCCACCAATCGACCTCGGAACATGAAACTCTATGCCCAAAGGAGGCTTATGATAAACACCGATCCCAACTCTAACATAAGAGGCGAAGAGCTGCACAAAGAATGCTGATCAATCGCCGCCGACAGCCGGACGGCACCGGAGTGGTATCCACCTGTTGATATCATCGAGGCACGATTGCCCGATGCGGCGAATCGACTCTCCACAACATGATGGGCTGGTGACATCATGCAAATCCCAGTTGTGATAAAATTGGGGTTGAGAACCTTGAAAAAAAATGTAGTTTCCTCACTATCGAAAGTGATTTCCATTTCTAATCGGGTTATATAATCAATTGATTAATATCGATCAGTTTAATCACCATGGGATACGATTTCACCGTCTTCAAAGGATCCAAGGACGGATCCATCACCGAAGCCACCACCCACCGCGATGACCTCACGCGCGATGAAGTCCTCGTCCGACTCACCCACTCCGGCGTCTGTTTCACAGATGTCCACTACCAACACGCCGACATGGCCCTGGGCCACGAAGGCGCCGGCGTCATCGAGGAAATCGGTCCAGAAGTCCAGGACCTGAAGAAGGGCGATCGCGTCGGCTGGGGATATCAAACCGGCTGCTGCGGTCGATGCTCCCACTGTCTCACGGGCTGGGAGACCATGTGTCCGGAACGCAAGATGTATGGTAGCGCGACGCCGGACCAGGGTTCGTTCGCCACGCATGCGGTCTGGCGCGAGCCGTTCCTGTTCAAGATCCCCGAGGGCATCAGCAATGAGGACTCAGCTCCGTTGATGTGTGGAGGATCGACGGTGTTCAATGCCTTGCATGTCTCGGGGGTCAAGCCGACGTCCCGGGTGGGCATCGTGGGGATCGGTGGACTGGGACATCTGGCCATTCAATTTGCTGCCAAGATGGGCTGCGATGTGGTGGTCTTCTCGGGCAGCGATAATAAGCGCGAGGAGGCGTTAAAGCTGGGTGCGCGCGAGTTCTATGCCACTAAGGGTGTGAAGGAGCTTAAGATCGGCAAGCCGCTGGATAATCTAATCGTCAGTACGAGTAGTCAGCCCGATTGGAAGCTCTACGTCAATGTGCTGGCGCCTGGGGCGGTGATTTCTCCGTTGTCGGTGGACAATGAGGATTTCAAGTTCCCGTATATGGCTCTCTTGGGGAATGGATTGCGCGTGCAAGGGTCGGTCGTCGCGGCGAGACAGGTGCATCGGGATATGCTTGACTTTGCTGCCTTGCATGGGGTGAAGCCGGTTTTGATGAAGTATCCGATGAGCCTAGATGGTGTGAAGGATGCGATGAAGACGTTGGAAGCTGGAAAGATGAGGTACAGAGGGGTTCTGGCTGTGCAATAGATGGATGGAGCGGTTCTTAGCGTGGGGTGCTGCGGACATGTTGGCTGAGTAAATAATTATGTTTGGGGACCTTATGTGATGCTTTATGATATGATGAGAACTGAGTAATATAAATTCGAATCATGATTGCCATAGCTTCGTAGTATATATTCGTAGCGTGGCCTAGTTGGCCGCCGGCATCCCTGGAGCCTCGCAAGAGACTGCAATCTATGGTAAGATCATAATCAATCGATCGATCTGTCAGTCAGCATTGACAGTTTCCCGAATTAGAAATCAAAGCCACATTCACCGCAGCAAACCTAAAAGAGTCAGTCTTGTGGGGGTGAGGTCAAAAGCAATAACCCGACTCAAAGAAAAGGATCGAAAGCAAGAAAAAAAAGAAATATGAAGAAAAGAAATATAGACTAAACTCACGCAGTTGCCGCCGCAAATATTTCACCTCGTCGAGCCTTAACCATGAACCCGAATGCCAGCGAAAAGACAATGTTATATACCATAATGGTAATCATTCTGACCGCGGTGTCCTTGATAAAGTATAGCACAATCATGGACGATGCAGGTAGAACCGCCGCGATGAGGACACTAAATATGTAGGTGGACACCTTGATCTTTTGATCGCTATATTGCCAGCTGGCTGTCTCGTCGCTTTGTTTCTGTGATAGTTAGATACCAGCGATTGAAAGGATGCATACTGACGCACCAGATATTTCCGCCCCCAGCGCTCGTGGAACCATGGGACCACTCGGTTGAATATCCACCGAGTCAGGCCATCGATCCCCTCGTGTCTACTGAACAGCGCAAGCATGTCGTCTTCGTTTCGGGGATGGTACACATTCATCTCGGCAGCTGTCTCGAAAAACATATTCCCGCATTCGGGTCGGTCGAGCCAGTCTCGTAGCACGGCGAGGTCGCATTTATCTGGTGCACTGAGGCGGATGAGGTCCCGTTGTTGGATAAGGGCGGTGTCTGTTGGTGTGAGCTGATGCCTTTGCTTGGGGTGCTTGGGTTATGGCTAGAACGGGCTAGTATTTGTGAAGAGAAAGCAGGGGAGGGGTGGGAGGTTATAGGTCATAGATGCCAGGGAGATGTAAAGTTGTGAATGAGCATAGCTGATAGACACAGGAAAGCCTAACTGACTATATTTGTCCAGCAATTCACGGACTTCTAGGATCTTCAGCCACTGCGTCGGATGCTCCTCTTTTGCTCGTCTCATGGAATCTTTCAACTCTCGTACCGAGAAGGGATAGTTCTGTTTTTCATCGTCTGGCGAATCCTTGTCATTCTGGATGATAAAGTCGAGATCGTCCTCAAGATTCGCAATCTCCGCTTGATAGTACAGAAGACTTTTAATATTTAACTTGGTGAAACGTCGAAAAAAGGCCAATCCGGGATCCGAAGCGATAAACGTTGCGAGCTTATCGTATCCTTCGACGGGGCGGAGGTTCATGGTCGACATGGTTCTCGACGTATTCTTTTGGCCAATATATTTAAAACTGGTATACCTCAGCGCTGTAATTTGGGCAGGAAAGCAATCCCATTAGCAATCTATTATACAATTCGCCTTGCAGGGCCTCGACTTCCTCGGGACGGTCTCCGCATGAGGCTCCAGGCCTCATTGTGGCTGTGAACCACCCCTCCATTTCCACGATGTTCAAAAGCCTTGAATGCCCACTCAGGATGACTTCCTGGCCAGCTGAGGAAAGCCCGTGCATATGATCGGCTTGTCGAGTCATGGATTGCTTATACTGAGGGGTGCGTCAGCTGCCTTCACATGTCAGCTCCAAGGCTTCCGCATTGCCTTCTACGATCCGAATAGTCACTCCAAGCGAACCATGCTGTCCTAAATATGCTCCGAGCCGGACTGGGATGGCACGAGAAGCTATGCTTACATTTGAATGGTGAATGGCACTACTGACCCCTCTGGTGACATCTACGACGGTCGCGTGCGACAACATCTTCGATGTGACCCGGAGAACAAGGTGTGGAATATTCTTTGATGCTTTAGAAGTCTCCATATCAACCCCACATGTATTACTTGGACATTTTTTACTGGGTGGCAATGGAAGCATACTGTTGGGCCTCTACTAGTCCAGTCGAATACATTTTACCAGCACATAGGGCAGCAATGCAGCCTAGCCAGCGCATACTCCGCTGTCAAGCACATAATGACATGCAGGGAATGGGTGGTCCTGCATCTAGCTAGCAATCTCTTCTCTAATTTGACTGTCCGCTCTGCCTGGAGGAAGGAGGTTAGAAATCCCTGTTCATGTATTGTGTTGAGAAAATATATGTACACTACGCACCGCATATATAATAAATGTATTCAGCCGAATGATTCAGGGCCTATTCTGCGTACAACCCAGATGCGGGATCAAAATCCGATCGATGTGATCTTGTTTGGAAAACGCTTTTAAAGTTGATGGACTATCCACACACGCGCCCAAAACACCTAGCCAGTGATGTTTCCTTCTTAAAATTAGACCCATGAGTTCCCTCCTCATCCCCTATGAGGCATGTGAATGATTTACATTTGCTTGATCTGCGGCACGGAGGCGAGAGGCAAGAGCGGGATCCCTGCGGTAAAGGCCCAGTTTCCGAACGGTGGAGATTCCCAGACAGGCATCAAACTCGAGGCCTCGCACCACATAAAATTCGGCCGAGTACAGTTTATCCTCGTCAGGCCTTGACCATGTTGCCTGTGCTTTTCCCAGCGGTACCATCTGCTTTTTGTGGTCAACAATTGAAATTGGTGGTCCTTCATATCGCTCGATGGGGAGCTTCAGCTCCTCCCAGACCTCATAGTGCATAGCACAGACGTCTGTTTCAAAATCCACTGTCATACATCGTAACAGCGGGCTATTATCTGGCTTCAAAAACGTCACGCTATAGAACTTGTCATATGCAGCGTCAGGGTGCAGCATGGTATGAACGGAATCGGTGAGTATTTCACGCTCTTCCGTGTGCTGGAATCCATGGCGGAGTCCTGGCGATCCCCTCACTTTTCCAACCGGCTCCTTCTGAGGCGTCAAACAATGAACCTCGATGTTTGCAGGTTCCGATGGAATTGCAGGTTTATCTCGCGGCTTGTGGCTCCGAGGGTCCATTACGATGGCGAAGATGGGTCGACCGTCCTTCAGAATGCGCCGGGGCAACTGGGTCGCAACTGTTAGCCAGGTCGCCGTCCGGATCCGAAGGGACTGGGGGCACTTACGTGGCGTTTTATATCTTCATCTGGGCGTTGACTGGGAATATTGCCTGTAGCCCTCTGGAGGGGTTTCCCATTGTTCCTCCATCTTCGACGCTCGCGAGGGGCCGTCGTTCGAGGTCCTGAAGGCCGGTCAACTGGCGGTTCGCGGTGACTGCCGAGCAGGGCGACGGTTAGAGCCGCACTCACTCGAGTGATTCCAAGGCATAGCAAGTTCTGCCGGGCGCAAGTTGGGAAGATTAAGGTATGTTCCGCTGAGGCCGTACTAGGAGCCATATGGATGGTGAGAAGAGGGGAAGCGCTCAAGGCCTGGGCACCCAGACCATTAGTATTATCAACCTTCCATACGTCGCCGAGTCGAAGGAAGGGAGAGAGGGCCGGCGCACGCGGGGCTGCGGGAAAGTACCGGGCAGTCCTAACGCCGGTCAGCCACCCCCCAACCAACCCTAGGCCGCAGCATCCCATCTTACGACTGGGCCTGACCCTAGTCCTTCACTAGTGCTACTCCGTAAGTCGTGTTTTCTGACCGGATGAGATCATCTGCGAGTAAGAGCCTTGCTTCTTAACCCTGCAAGTATTTCCTTCCCTGTCTCCTCCTTCCGGAGTATAAAAGCCCGGTATCACCCAAGCTCCTTGTTGGTCGGTCGCAGATCTCTTCTCGTGGAGGATTCCCATGCTTTCTTTTACCCGCCTGACCCCCACTGGCTTGCGCCCTCCTCGTGATCTGCTCGTCTCAATGATGCCAAAGTCTCCCTGTCACCGGCGGTTTGCTTTTGCCCAGCGGTGAGAAATGCTGACTGTATAGCAATCACCGGGTGTACATCAGCTGGCTCATCGATTGGACAACGTCCTCCGCCAGGTGGCGGCTAATCCTGCAAGTGCCACCTCACGGGTCGCGGGGCGTCGTACATGGGCGGCGAAGGTGGTGATAGATCATCCTCCAGGGCAGCCACCCCCATGCGAGCACCCCCGGGGTTATCGCTGTCGGAAGGGCCAACTTCGCCCCATTCATGGTTCAGCCGGTGACCTCACAAAGCGACAGGGTGAATTCAGGTTTCAGAGAGTAGTCATCATGAGCTCAACTACCTAAATACAGACATCGTCCTCCTCCCACGCCGTACAGTATCATATCCTTTCTATTTCTTCTGAGCCGCCTGCTGCTTCTCCCGGTCGCGTCTCTCCTGTTCCTTCTTGGCCAACGCGATTTCTTTGTCCCGCTTCCTTTGTTCCTGACTGGCCTTTTCACCTATCCAGTAGTTAGTCATAATATACAGTGCTGGGTGGGACATCATCCATGACTCACTGGGATTCTGCGGTTTGAGCTGAGTCACCGCAATCCGGAGGCCCTTGTCATCGCGGACGCGGCCCACGATGCATTGAGTCCCCAGAATCACATGGCATTGGTGGTGCGAACCTGGCGCCTCCTCAGTCGAAACATAAAAGTCGTGTTTCTGGATTTTGGCTTCGCCCTTTTTCCAAATGTAAAGCAGGGCCATATCGCGCACCGCGTATGGAACCCCAGCCGAATCGTAGAATGTTTGGGCGACTTCCTGGCGCTGGACTTCCAGCCCCGGCAGCACCTGAAACCCGCTGCGTGTGAGAATGTTGACGTCCAGTTCCTGGGTAACAACCGCCTTCAGGTCGACGGTGTTCTCCCCGGGCCCGAGGCAACAGATGTCAACATAACTGGGTCCGGTCTATGAGGGTGGTTTTCAGTGGCGTCCGGCAAATGAATGAGTTCAGGGTGGGTGGGAACCCTGCATCAGGTATATACATACCATCGCGTCGCTTGGGGGGAGGGGGGGTGTACTTGCTGTCTGACTCGGTCCTTGCCCTTCCGGAAACGCCAGTGGGAGCTGTCTGGGGATGCCTTCCCCCGGAGAAATCTGCCACGTTGATATAGACCAGACATCATCGAGGGTGACCCAAGAGCCGCATCGTCGCCTATCCACGGACAACTCCGAGGAGGACGAGGATGTGCGACGGCCCCCTCCATCCTCAATGAACAGTTCTCCGCTTCGCAAGGCTAGACACCCTCCGTTGAACCAGCAGCGGAGATCCTGCAGCGGTATGGCTTCAATCACCAACCATCGGCCAGGTGTGCAGGTTGGGCATACACACACCGGGTTTGCCTGGGAATCCATGAGTCAGTCATTGGTGCTGATGCGGCCGGCTGCATGGAAGGAGTGACGGGCATCGCGGGGATAAGCGACCGGGACAGATGTTGATGGCCAGCAGATGCAGGATTTTACCAATGACCAGTTCATTCAATTGAATTCATGCATAATGGTTCGTGTCACACACAAGCTATCTACTTGCTAGTAATTATGTCGCTTAATCAAAACGCCGACCCATGCTCGCCCAAGATCGCACTGCAGCCCCCAAATCTCAAACATTCCGAACGCACAACGCCGCAAATCACCCTCCGATGCACCTCCATCGGACGTGACATGTACAATGAATGAGGTGGACACCAGGCATCGGGAGGATACCCGGTCGCACGGCTGTCCATTGGCCGGGCAGCTGGGCAGCACCTGCCCAAAGTACCGGTTTCACGCATCGCAACTGCCCTGTCCTCTTTCACACAAATCCCAACCCTATTGATATAAACCGATGTAGTCCTTCGCCAGCGTAGCCTCACCATCACCTCTTTCTCACCTTCTTATCTGGCGTGGCCCCCCAGACCGGGGCCCGGGGCGAGAATCTTCAGCCGGCGGATGTCTCGCTTCCCCAGGATGGCATTATAATCTCGAAGATCAACGACGAGGAAGTCGGAGACATAAGTCCTGCCGCTGCCCGCGAAGTGCCAGGCTACCCGTCGAACCCGACCATGCGGCGCGATCCGGATCTCATTGCCCGACTCAGTCTGCAGAGGGAGGAGATCCTGGCTGCAAGGTTCGGGGCTCATGCCCAGTTCCTTGCACAGCACGAGATCCATCAGGTTCGCTGATGCTTGTGTGTCCAGTGCCATCAATGCCGGCTCCTTATGACGGTTGTTGTTGGCGACCACGAACACCGGCTTGATGTACCACTCGCTGTTGGTGGAGACGGGGGAGAGGTCCTCCAGGGAGATGCTTTTGACCGACGAGCGCTGCGATCGCTCCTCGTCGCTACCCTGCGAGAACGCTGCCGGCTGCTCGGGAGGGGTGGTTTGCTTGGTGTCGAGCTCATCGGGTCGTGTACTGGCCGGAGTGATTATCGCCAGTGACTCAGAACCGGTGGTGCTGCCCGGGGCAAGGCAAAGGGCGACGCGACCGCCAGTTCCGGGGGTAGGAACAGCAGGGTTGGTTCGGGCCGGATCTTCGTGGGTCTGAAGGTCTTCAGGGACGTTCGGGTTCTTTAACCCGACTTGGGGAGTTGGTTCATCGCATTCGTCTATCGTGTGGTCGGGCTCTTGATGGCCGTCTGCCCTGAGGGCGCGGCTGTCCATGGGTTGCCCAGCCTGCGTCCATGGAACCTTGAGCTCCAAGGTTTTGTCCCGACCCTCGGTCTTCTCAATCCTAAGTATCCACCGACGTTCTTGGATCTTTCGCGGCACGAAAAGGGAAAACATTCGCTTCACGGCACGATGCCAGCTGCGGGTTCGTGAGGGCTTCTCGGCATCGCTCGAACTGTCTATGGAATGGACCGCACTCAGTCGTGACGAACTTTCACGGACGGGAACAAATGATTCGGTACTCACCACTTCCCGGGGGACCCCAGGGCGAAGATGCCTCCATCCTGGATGCTGAAGAAAGAGCTGGGACGTGGATGTGCTCACGTCCTGCTCCGCCGCCCTCCCTCCGATGACGTACCGACCAGACCAGCTCCGGAAGATGGCAATCCGGGGTTGGGAGGCTTCCAAGAAGGGTTATGGACTGGGTATCCAGTCACAGTAATGCTGCCAGGTGCAGAATGGCATAAAGGTTGCTTGGGAAGGGCCACTGGGATGAAGGATGGGGAAGAGGGGGTGGCATAAATCGCTGTCTAGCACCACCTCCACCGCCTAGGACTGTCTCGAAGAGTCACAGGTACTGAGCTGGAAGACGGCAATTTGCCTCCAGGTTAGTCATCTGGTCTAGGACATCATGGTTGGGTACAGCTCGAGGCTGGTGCTGGCGCCTCGTCCAATCGTAGCTCCTCCACACTAACCTCCGGAAGACAACAACTTACCACCCCCTCCGTGGTTGAAGAAGTCATTCATCAGTAAAGCTTCTTCCTGGTGCTGTAAGACCTGTGGTTCTGTCCGCTTTCATGGACCCAGCCGGTTGTGCCTGTACTACCACCTCATGTATCATCGGGCAGGCTGCGAGAGCCATGGCCGGGGCGGCCCATCATGGCGTGCCCCTTGGCTCAGGCCCAATGAGCGCACTTTCCGTCCTGATCCGAACCCATCAATTCTTGCGATTGCGGCTCTTTGTCCAGAGGGAGATTCAGTGGTATCAGATCATGGTCAGTCTTCTAGCAAGATGAGCGGGTCGTGATTCTGGGGAGGGGAATGGATGATCGACTCACGCTTCCTAGGGAAGAGTGGGTGCGCCTACACTAGCTTCCGGACCTTCGTCACGATCAATGCTGATATTATCCATCGGTTGTCCAGTGCAGTGCACTGCCTGAGCTACTGCCCAGCTGCCTCTCTCGAACCGTCTGCACGCGCGGTCGCAGCCAGGCCCAGGAGGACAAGGTTGACGGGTCTGCGTTGGCATAACATTGCTTTTTCTACCCCTCCCGATTCTCAACCCATCTGCTAAGGATCTCGCACCGTCGTCGCAATTTGCGATCAGCCGTCTTCTAGAACGAGGCTCCATAATCGGAAGATAAGTGTCCTGCAGAGTTGCACAGCCCCTTGTTTCCCCCCGGGGGACTAATCGATCGACTTCTCGGTAGGATCTACCTCACGACTGGAACGTGCAACCCGGGTCAGCATGTCTCCGACCATCCACCGTCTGAGGCAAACCCAATTGACCTTCCGTAGGGGGCTGTGGCCCAGAGGGTGGCCGGTGGTCCATCCCACGCACGAGGTCACCTGCAAGCCACACTGGTGCGGGCTGTCGCTGCTGCCTGCCGGTTTGCCTCGGGGCAGAATCGATCATCCGCAGGGTGCAGCAAAAGGACCTACCTACATACGATCGCTAATATCGATCTAATATTTAGATAGATACCTCTCAGTCCTCAAGCGCAGAGCATCCCCATGCTGTCCGGATGCTCATCTCCCAACAATGCTTTGTTTCGACTACTGCGGGTGATTCCCCTGTCCCTTCAAGTCCGCCCGGCCCTCGGTTGGACTAGCAGAAGGTCCATGCGGGCCACGTCAGTTAATGGGTAGTGCACGGTTGGCGAGGCTGGATCGCGGCCACTTTAGACGGTTAGTCCATTCTGATGCTGGTCTATCAGGGCAACCCCTATTCTATCTAGACTGTGTTGATGTTGACTCTTCCCGCCCCTTGGTCGCTGCAGCTGACGGTGTCTTTTAGTGCTTAGGGCCGGCTGCTCTGGCGGCCGGTATCGGATCCCCACGAGGGTCGTGCATTCATCATCTCGGACCAAAGAAAATAATAATGTACATACAGACATGCCACAAATTATGCACAGAGAAATTAAGTAACCCCTCCCCGCTGACCAAATACACGAGAAAATAAGAAATGAATATAGAAAAGAGTGGAAAGCGATCACGTCTCCTCCGTCTCCACCTCCTCACTGACGACCCACGTCCGGATCTCCCGTATGATGCCCGTCTGACTGGACTGACTATCCTCATCCGACAACCGCGCCGCCGACACCGTCGTGACATTCCCCTGACCCGCCCCCATCCCCATCAACTCGTGCTCGCCGCTGCGCGTGTATTTACTCTCCGTCCGATTTCCCGACCGCGTCGTCGACCATTTCGTCTGGTTGTTCGTCGATCGGTAATCCACACCTTGGATCCGCAGGCCGTTGGATTTGAGCATGTTCAGGAAGGGTTTCAGTTGCGCCCAGCAGGCGGTCACGATGCTGAGGCATTGGATGGTTTCGATGCTGATGGTGATGCCCCAGGTGCTGTAGGAGGGGTCGCTGTTGTCGGTGTTTTGGGATACGAGGATGAGTTCGGCGATGCTGATGAGGATTACTCTGGTGAGGTGGTTAGTTGGAGGGGGGGAATATCGGAGAGGGGGGAGGTGAATGAACGGACAGGACTCGCGAGAGAAAGATCATGGCAAACATGAGCTTGCGTTTCCGGGTGGTTTGGATGCGCGCGATCAGGTACAGCGCTTGCAGGACGATCATGGCGTCGGTGATGATGTTCGTGACCCCCTTGAAGTAGTGCCATGCGGCCTGGTTCTGTTAATCCGGTGGGTAGCATACAGTTCCATTGGGGCAGTCGTACCAGGTTCATGCACTTCCCCGCATAATAGTCCCAGGCATTGGGGAGGCTGCATTGAAAGGCAGTCCCGACGAGCGAGACCAGCGCCAGGATAGTCACGGAGATTTGTACCACATATGCGACCAAGTGGTCTTTGGCCTTTGGGGTCAGGTTGCGGATGAAGCACGAGAGTGAGATCTTGGAGAAGTAGAGACTGAGCGGGTAGAGCAGCGAGGCGGCGTATTGCGACTGATGCGATCGGAGATCTCGGTGAGCATCAACGGCGATGACAGTGAATCGGACCAGTATGGTGCATACCTTCATCATATTATCGAAGCGCTCCGGCGACAGCGTAGAATAGTGATATCCATAGCCATTTGCGACAGCCATCGACACCGCGAGGGATTGTCCGATGCAGAATACCTATGTCCATCTCAGTCATTAGCTTTCCCAGTCCATAGTCTAATTAAAGGCAATAATAGAAAAATAAGAATGATACACACCAACGACACCACAATCAAATAATCATCATTCGTGAACGTGCGAAACGAGCCATACTTCGTCCCGAGCCGAAACATGACACTCAGCGCGGCCGTCACGAGGAGAAACCAGGTCGTGACATTGACGGCCGGATCTTTCGTATCGCCTGTGAACCGCCCCATGAAGGGCAACAACCAGATTGCTGACGCTGATCCCCGGCGGGAATCATGTCACGCAGGATAATGAGATGGCCGGTCCGCTGGAAGAGAGGGGGGGGGGCGGATCGAAGACAGACAGGGTCTGTCTGGACGGGCACGATCTCGAGTAAATAGGACGTAGTAGATACCTACGGAGTAAGGTAATAATCGATCGATTGATGCAGGGCCTACTGCTACTACTACCTCCAATTCCCTATCGACCGGAAGTCCAAGGAGATCCGGCCGACCAGCCTGTTCGTGGGCGCACTCACACACCCATTAGGTTCCTTCCCCTCCTGGCCGAGAGGGTAAATCGCATGGCCAGGCTGGGATCCGAATCCTGGTTCCATTGGCATTCGGCCGTCATTTGCTTGGGCGGGGTCCAACTGGGAGGGATAGACTTCGGCTAAGGGTTCAGGACTGGATGCTCTTAGTCGCAGGGGATGAGATGAGACGGTTGGTGGATTGCTTGATTGCCCACTGCGCCGACGGTGAGACGACGGCGCCCCGATATCCCGGACAATTAGTTAATTTATGTTTCCTTTGTTCCGTCCTATCTGGACGCTCGGGGTATTATCTCGATCTAGAGCAGTCCAGTCCCCATGGTGATAATAATTCCTGATATTAATAAGCTTGCCACGGTCCGTTCGGTGGTCTCCGCAACGGGAGGAGTCTAATCTCTCTTATCCTCCTATCTGTCTGGACTCTGGTGCCATGCACGCGATAGTGGTCCCCATCAGCACTAGATCCTTCGATCGTTCCAGTACGTTGTTAGGCGAATCAACTCCGGGCTTGGGGTTTTGTGTGATACGGCGATCGGTTTCTAATTTCGGCGGTCGGTCAGCATCCGGAGTCGAGGTGAACTCTTCCGGTGCTGGCACGAACTGAGCTGGTTCTTTGCTCGTGGCTCGGGGATAATACGGTCGCGGAGGCCAGCACTCAGTCCTTATGGAGCACTAGTGGTAGACTGGTGGTAGTTATCGAGAGGGGAACGGGAGTGACAAGTGCGCGACCCACCAGTCAGATGCAATCAAGCGGTTGGCCCATGCAAGGTGTCTACGCCGCATGGGCCGGAGACCAGCCGTGTGTTCTCTAGCGGCATCACTAGTCCGATAGCTGCGTGGTTAGGGCCGGGGTCGGCCCACTGCCCACCGGCCCTATCGTCTCGACTGTCTCTCCCGGCTCGCAAGTCTTACCATTCATTGCGAACGAGGTGCTCCGTAGTACCAGCATGGCTGGCCCGACCCGCCTTCCAAAGCTTACCTCGTGCACCCCTCAGCAGTCGCTATTGTTCAGGGTCATTGTTCATTTTACCCCTGGGCGCATATAACCCCCTCCGGAGAGATACCGCTGACCGCGCCTGCAGGGACGCCCCCGACCTGGCTAATTGCGAACAAGCAACACTAACCACGGTAAGTGGCGTTAGAATGCTGTCCGGGTACCTCGAGTAACGGCTTTTAATTTCTGCTGCTGCATCTCCAACGGGCATGTTGCAGTGGTGGTCGGTTTGCTCCGTTGCGTTATATTAGACGGTCGGTTTCCTGGACCCTCCGTCTGCCTGCACTTTTTTTGCTTGTTCTCACGCCGGTCGTGGTTCTGCAATTCTACCCCTCGTTATGGCGTCCTACGAATTGAAGAATCGGGCCAGTTTGGTCAATCATGAGATCTCGGAGATTGATTCGCATGATGCTCGCGATAATGCTGCTTTGGCTCGGTTGGGCAAGAAGCCTGTTTTGAAGGTATGCCGTGATCCCTGTTTTGGTGCTGCGATTGATCCCTTTTTTTGAGGCTGGACTAATGTGTTGATTGTGGTCTTGCAGCGTAACTTTGGTATTCTCTCGATCATCGGTCTCAGTTGCACGATTCTCGGCACTTGGGAGGGTATTTTATCGTAAGGACACTGTGACTGTTGGGTGAATTGCAGCTAACTGGAATAGTACCTTTACCATTCCTCTCGAAAAGTCGGTCTTCTCGTCCACGATCCAATACCTGAGCTGAGCTGACGGAATAACAGTGGTGGATCGGCGGGTGCGGTATACTCCTTTATTTTTGCGTGGACGGGAACGGCCTGTTGCTTTGTGCTGCTGTCGGAGATGGCGTCCATGTAAGTCGAATGCACGACTCTCATGGCAACGCTGACCTGTCAGGGCGCCGACCTCCGGAGGTCAATATCACTGGTGTGCCATGCTTGCGCCTCCCAGATATATGAAGTTTTTGAGTTATATCACAGGTACAGTACGGAACTGCTGTCGGACAGCATTACTTACTGACGGACCATAGGATGGTTGACGGTGATCGGATGGCAAGCTGCGTTCGCATCATCGTCCTACATGGCCGGCACGGAAATCCAAGGCGCGATAATCCTAGGCCGCAATGCCTACAACGCGCTGCCATACCAGGGTACTCTTCTGATGTGGGCCGTCGTGCTGGTTGCGCTCGGAGTTAACATCATCGGAGGAAAGTTCCTGCCTCGTCTGGAAACCCTCATCCTTATGATTCACATCCTGGGATACTTTGGCGTGCTCATCCCCATGACCTACATGTCCGACCACAAGTCGACCAGGGAAGTCTTTACGGAATTCACCAACGGCGGAAACCTGTACACCGATGGTCTGTCGTTCTTTGTCGGGATGACTGGTTGTGTGTTTGCCTTTGCTGGTGGTGATGCTGCTGTGCACGTAAGTCATCTGCCCGTTCCACATAACCTGCATCTAACTGTCATAGATGGCTGAGGAAGTAAACCACGCCACGGTAGTCATCCCCTGGGCTATTCTACTCAGTGTCGCCATCAACGGCACCCTCGGTTTCACCATGCTGATCGCCACCCTCTTCTGCATGGGCAGCGTTGACGCCGCCCTGAAATCCCCCACCGGCTACCCCTTCATGGAAATCTTTCAACAAGCCACCGGCTCCACCTCCGGCGCACTGGGTCTCTCCTCCATCCTCGTCATCGTGGGTATCTGCGCCGCCCTGGCCATGTTAACCGCGACATCTCGTCAATTCTGGTCTTTTGCCCGTGATCGCGGTGTCCCTGGCTGGCGCATCTGGAGCCATGTTCGTCCCCCCCCTCCCCCTCCTCATCGCCAACACTAACATAATCAATCAGGTCTCCAACCGCACCTTCCTCCCCACCTACTCCATCCTCCTCACCATGACGATCTGCTGCCTCCTCGGCCTAATCAACATCGGCTCCAGCGTCGCCCTCAACGACGTCGTCTCCATGGCCGTCTCCGGTCTTTACTCCTCCTACCTAATCGTCGCCGGACTCCTCCTCTGGCGTCGCTGCACCGGCGCCATCTCCAATCACAACGACAGCGACGACTCCGTGGTCAATGTCCCCGGCGCCAAACTCATGTGGGGTCCCTTCCGGGTTCCCGGGATCTGGGGTATCTTGATCAACGCCTATGCGGTGATTTATATCGTCATTGTCATCTTCTTTAGTTATTGGCCTACGGAGTTACCGGTGACGGTGGAGAATATGAATTATAGTGTTGTGGGGACGATGGGCGTGATCATTTTGGCGGTGCTGTATTATGCGGTGCGGGCGAGGCATGTTTATACGGGGCCGGTGGTGGACTTGTCGTGATGAAGTGGTGGGTGCAGGTTTGGGGGGGAAGGGAATGGGATGGATGCTTTCGAGTCAGTTCTGTCTTGTCAGTACTCAGATTGTTGGGTTCTTTCGCGTATAAATCTGGAGATAGCAAAAGTTGGTTGATAGCTGTTTAATAAGTATAATTTGGTGATGTTGTGTGTAAACGTGTCGGATATAAATATTGTAGTGGACTTTATCCTCAGTTCCAACAATTCACGGTACAGCTAGAGAAATATACACATTATCGAGAAAAGGGTAGTTATGTTACTCACTAGAAGCATACCACCTACTAATAACCTCCATCAGACCTCTCCACAAGAAATAACAAGCCATACAAGCCAGAGATTCCACCGCCGACAAGCGCAGTCCCAAGTCAAGAGCTATGCCATTCGCCAGGCTCATAGTGTCAGAATCAAGGCAGCAGCTCATCAAATGGGGCTGTGGTTTAGTGGTATAATATTCCCTTAGCATGGGAGAGGTCCGGGGTTCGATTCCCCGCAGCTCCATTTTTTGTCTTTTTGTTTGCCACGGGCTGTCAGGCAGTGGGTGGATGCGTAGTGGGGTTGCCATGACCCGGCTCCACTATTCGGATTCTTTCTCCTTTTTTTTTCTCACAGAAAGCGGCCATATGGATGGAATTGGTAGACCGCATATTCTCTGCAGGGGTAATGGATAGTGCACGTAGGAACTGCATAACGCATAGGGATTCATTGTTCAAGGGTCGTTTCATCCAGTGCCTTGGATGGCTGTGTGGCTGGAGATGGAGGTGGTTGGTGCTAGGTTCATCCCACAGATGGTGGGTTTGTGGCATATCGTGATGGTGTGCATCTTTCCTTGGAAGGGTATGTTTGATCAAGGAGTGATGTAACTGAAGTAGTTAGCCTAGATAAGTACGAATTGCTAGCATATTCTTCCAAACATTCCATGTGCAGACTGATCAATTGCCTGAATTGAAGGAACCGATCATCTGACAACAGAGTCCAACACTCCGTACCTAACATGCCCCCAGTTACCCCAGCAAATCCAACATCATCCAAGACTCAACAGTCACATCAAAACAAAGAAGTATCTTGGTGAGTAACATCTCTCAGTTCTCAGAAGCAACAAAAGTTAGCGTCACCTGCACCGGCGCATGAAAACCATGTCCCTTGAGTCTCACCGCTCCATTCCCATTGGGATCCCCATCCGCAAACCACAGGGGTCCACCCCAGGCGTTCTTCCCCGTGAGTCCAATGTTCGCTTGGAGGTTGAGGGCATCGCCCTGAGCATGCACTGCTTAGTGACTTTATCCCATATAGAGGTAAAGGCAGAGAGTTAGAGCGGAAGAGAGATGGACGATGGGGGTGATGTTTATATAGACGTCGGAATATTTTCCCGGGCCTCAGTCCAACATAGGCGAGATTGGAACAATGGAAGATACGCTTGTCCTAATGATTGCTTGGGTCTTTCTGTCCCGGCACGAACACATGCTCCCGCCTTTCAAGACCACCCCCCCTTGTTTTCAGCTAAATGGATGGTCCTACGTTAAAATGATGCTTTGTGATCATGCGAATCTCTCTGGGGCAGATGTCTGCGCCCCGAGAACTAAAAGTAGCCACGCTAGCCTCAGCCTTGTTGATTTCACAGCCCCAGTACCCCCATTAAACCTGAATTGTAAACACACAGGGTATAAGAGTAACAAGAATTCATGGAGCCACTTGTTCCTTCATAATATTTATTCCTCCCATCGGAGTCACCCCCCAATGACCGAATCACTCTCCATCCTAACCGAAGAACCCTGGTTCTGGGACCCGTTTCAGAGAAACGAGATTAAATTTCACCCCGATGGGACCGGTGATGTAATCATCCCTTCCTGTTCATGACTCCCTGTTAATCAACTAACCTTATGCTAGCTTATTTGCCGCTACGAAACCCAAACCTGGATCATGGCCCGATTCGATTGGTCCCTGCCCCAACCACCCTCCACCTTCACAAATAACAATACCAGCGGCAGCAAAACAGACCTACTCGCCCACTTCCCCATAACCCTAACCCTCACCAAATGTCTAATTCCAAATTCTCACATCCCGCAATATACCAAAATCAACGAAGCTTTACTCACCGACGAGGCTTTTCGCTCAAAGACCTATACTGTGAGATTAGAGAAGGGGGCATTTATCACACAGCATGATGTTATGTATGCAGACAGCAAGTGGAATGCAGCCAGGTATGCTATGAGACTAGTGTTTGATAAGTCACCGTATCCGCCGCGCGAGGAGTGGAGGGAGGTAAACGGTGCGCTGGAGGCGTTTAGAGTGTGGGAGTGGACGGAGTTTTGTTCGAGGGGGATGCCGGAGAGGGGGGTGGTAGGGGCAGCGTGGGGTAGGGTTATGGAAATGTTGGGGTGGGAATAACTATATAATCTTATCGAGTTGAGAGATGTCCTAATTTTCTGGTTGTTGATCCTCCATGCCGATGCCCAGCAGCTGATCCCATCAAGGAGACGCACAGACTCCACTCTTACAAACCAGATCACCTGAACAATCATTCAATGTCGAGCACGAAGCACCTATACCCTGGTTAGCATTGACTTCATCCATCAATGAAAAAAATATACATACCAGCACAATGTCCCTCCCATTCACACGAACTCGAAGACCCACCACTCCCCCCCAACCCCGCCGCCACCACAATATCACTCAACTCCGTCCCAATCTGCACATCATAAACATACGTATCAATCTCCACCTCTTCCCCTCGATACGCCCCAAACTTCGGTTCCGTCTGTCCCGTCCAGGTATTCGCCTCCAGCCTGGTCGACCTTGACGTCGAAAACGTCTGCTTCTCACCATCAAAATAGAACTCCACCCAACCGGGCTTCCCCGTATGAATCACAATCCCGACCGAGTAGACAGTCCCCGTGGAGAGAGTCTTGGACCATTGTGGCTCCCGCTTGGCGGTATAGTCGGCTTGGTATTGGAGGTGGAGTTGTCCGGATTTGAATTCTAGGGAGAGGGGGATGTTGGCCCCGTTATCTGTGGCGTCGTTGCCGGCGTAGGCTTTGCTATAACATTATCAGCAGCATTTCGAAGGGGGCAGTGGGGGGGGACGTACAATTGAAAGATCATCAGGCTCTGTTCAATAGTTCCAAGGGAGAACTTGTACCCGATGTAGTAGGTTTCATCTTCGGCGGTTTGACCGTGTAGGGCGTGGTATTCGGCGCGGATGTAGCCCTCTTTGCGGTGGTAGTGGAGGGCGGGGGTGCTGTTGGGGTCGGTGCCGAGTTTGGCGTAGAGGTCGGCGGTGTTGGAGGAGATTTTGTCGCCGCGGGCTTCTTCGAGATTGAGGATGCCGAGGGTGGATGGGTTGTCTCCGTTTGCGGCGGAGAAGTTGATGAGGGAGGTTGCTGTGACGGGTTGGAGGGCGGCTAGGGCGTAGAGGAGGTGGTGGAGGTGCATGGTGGAGGTGGTGGTGGTAGTTGAAATGCGTAGGGTGGTAGATGATGTAGTGAAGGGGACAGGTTTCTGGTTTGTTAGTTTATGTCCTTTATAGTCTTAACTTGGGGCCATGTCGGAGTTGATGGTCGTCGAGTTGGGGGCCATACCAAGATTGGTGAGAGCAGGACCCTGTGTCTCAGGTTGTCGATCCTGTGCCGAGCGGCCGTTGAAGGCGGCCACTGAAAAGGCTTCGCTTCAGCTGGCGCGTTAAGGTTGTCTCGGAATGGCAGCGCGTGTAAGCGCTAAGTGGAGTGAACACGAGCCTACTGTTTCTGTCACAGTGTCGACATGGGATGGGGTCTGCTAGAGCAGTTTGCGATGTCCTCGTTCGATATTCATGTCCGAGTGTTTCTTGGCTAATACCGCGAATAGCAAGTGGCCGAATGAAAATCGAGTTCGTACTGCCAAAGAGCGGAGATAGTGTCAACAGGGAGTGGTATGAGTTCTGGTGAAGCGATTCTCAGGGGTTCCCATGCAGTGGGGCCAAAATAGACCTTATCAGCCACATGGCTTCAAAGCAAGGCCACTAGCTTGGTTCCTGATTCTGAATGCTCAAGGTTGCAACCCGGGAACATTCCGAAGGATCAGGTTAGCGTTATTTCCAGCAAGACCTGAGATTTGAAAGACTAGAATAATCCCACTTGAACACAAGCTTTGGAGATAGGATACAAACCCATGGTCTTGAGCATATTATATTCATTAAAAACGTGCCTGCATCAGGCCATTAGTGATTACATGATCCACATACCAAACCAGGGTTCTTCCCAGTCATTATCATAATCGTAGCGCGTATCGACGAATCACCATTCACCCAAGTCTCAATGCAGCTCGTTCCGAGGCGTCCCCATCAGCTCACTGATCGGCCGGTTATCCTCCATCTCGTCAATACCCCCCAGATCAGAGTGCGAGGGCAGCTCTGCGATCAAGGTTTCTGCCCTGGACATGCGAGGATCTGACGGTACTTTCGCTTCCTCGACCATCATGGGAGATGCCGCTTGATCCGTATTTGGATAATGTTCCGAGTTCCTCTGCTTTCGCGATCGACGACGATACAGCAAGGCGAGAGCCCCACCGAGTACAGCGATCGCTAGCACGCCCAGAGGAACCCCGAGTCCAATTCCGACTTTCTGGGCAACGGTGAGACCGCTTTTCCGGGCAACCGCGGGATCAATGGAGGACGCTGCTGATGTTTCGGCCACCGCCGTCGAGGTAGTGCTGGCGTGAGTGTGGGTGCCAGTGACAACTGTCAACGAGGAGGTAGAAGACGTCGCGGTTGCGGTGCTGGTCGTCGTGCTGGTTGTGCCGTAAAAGTTGTAAGATACTGGTGCCGGGTCACCACTATAGCGCTTGCTAACGCCAAACAGGACGCTGGTGAGGTTGGGGGGGTTGGGATCGCCGTTGTAGTCCAGTGGCTCGAGCTCAAAGGCGCAGCCAGACTCTCGGTAGTTGTCGCGGGTCGCGTTCCAGACATAGCTGTAATCATTGGTGACGTTTACTGGCATGCTATCAGACTGCGTTCCTGACTGCAATGGTGTACTTACACTCCAGGGCAACCGCCGAGCTGCACACCTCATACAGAGAAACACGCGATGTCACCACGTTCCAGGACACATTGACCAGGTCCCCCACGATGAACTCGTACTCGGTGGACGTGGGGAAGGTGAATCCCTCTGCACGAACGAAACCTCTCTCTTGCAGAGCAAGCAGGAGGCATACGAGGTATGCGATCCTACCCAGAATACCCCCGAACATCATCGTGAACAGCAGAGGAGGAAACCAGGAGGACGGCAGTTCGGAAGAGATCACGCTCGTCCGGGAGCATGGACGGTTAAGTTATCGTCGCATTTCCTGGCTCAGCCTCGCCAAGCGGTGTTCTGTTTTTATCCGGCGGGGAAAGCTAGCACCTGCAGGTCGCCATTCTTTGTACGAAATCAGCCACCTGCTGGGATAGGCCAGGCAGGCCCTGTTCAGGTGGAGCTTGTGCCAGGGTGCGGGTCGAGTAGGCCCTACAGGGTTTAAGTCGACAGGGGTTGCACATAGTTGCCCAGTGGTCGTAGAGCTAACGTTCACTAGCTACATGGTGTTCCCAGCAACCATGGTCGGGTGGTGCTGGGACGGCAGGTCATGAGATACGGCTGCGGCTTGACTGGGATGTTGACCAGGGTGGTGATAGTAGCTTTCGACGGTGGGATTCCGCAGCCCAAGGCGGCTTCAAGGCCCCAGCCATCGGCCAGCTTGTCAAGAGGCGAGCTGCTATTTGTATCTCCCTCATGCAGCAGATGAAGTCTGGTCTGTTCTTCCTTCGCTTCTTCCTGGAAGACGGCTACCCCAGTAACCCGTATCTCGACGATGGCATCGTTCTCTGGTCGAGCTATACTAGCGCACAGCCGTTTATGCAACTAAAATTCACTGGTGGTGGGAGATAACGCAACGGGACTGCGGGACTATCAACATCCCGGCTATTAGCCGTTTTCTGATCGAGGTCGGAATGGAGGAGGTGGTATCTAGTGTCATTTTGGGGAAGACGAGAAAATGGAAGGAAAGGCATTAGGACAGAGACAGAGCCGTCCAGGTATGGCAACACAAGGTGCTTGTGGTGTTGCGACGGACGGGACAAGCGATGGACCGTAGGACACGGTCGGACTCCGGAGGGCCAGCAATTTAGCGTTGATATGAGAAAAGTGATGATTGGACACAATCCAGAGCTGGACAACATTCGAGCTGCCTAATTCGGTAAGCGTGTGTTCCCGGCGGAAGACGGTGATTGGTCTGGCTCAACACACAGCACGGATCTGCAATTCCGTTCTCTATGGAAGAGAGGGAAAAAGACAAAAAATGGAGCTGCGGGGAATCGAACCCCGGACCTCTCCCATGCTAAGGGAATATTATACCACTAAACCACAGCCCCATTTGATGGGATGAGGCCTCTATTTATGCACTATGAGCCAGTGATAGAATATCTTCTCCCAGCATCAATGATGATATTGACGACGTCCATGTGCTTGATGAATTTAGTATAGTGCGCAACATCTTATAGGTGCAGAGGCACGGCAATGTCCGAGTGATTGTTCCTAGTAGTAGCAAATACCTAGTATCATATATTGATGATGCCACATGCCAAAGTGACTGAATACCATCCAGGTTGGCCAATGTATATATCTGTGTGGATGTATTCAACTCGTGGTGACACCGATCACATGTCCAGTAAGTAACCCCCCACCACATCCATTACATCCAGAGAGAAAGCCACCCAGCCATTAAATGTCATCAGTTAAATAAATCATGTCTCATAGCTAGGAACATGTGTCCATCAATCTGTGGGCGGCAGTCAAGGTTCAAATCTCATGCAGGGGATCAGACACCGCTCTCCGCAAACAATTGACATTCAGGCGCCCAGTCTTGAATCATCTACAGCTTTATTAAGACCACAGGGCCCAATACAGACAGCTGCAACTTGTTCGTCTCTCACAATGCAGGTCCCTAGTTTTCTACCCGCAAGTGTCACTGGGTTTCTGGCTATCTTCTCTCGCTCCAGCCCGGACACTCCAGCTATCACCGGGAATGTCAGTACAGCCGCGCCAGCGCAGCTACCACAGAAAATCGACATCCATCACCATTTCCTAACAGACGACTACCGCCTGGGTTTGCATGGCATTCATAATCACACTGAATCCCAGCTAACAAACACATAGCCGTCGAAGATGCAGGCGGTGACCCAACCGGACTCCCTCTCCCCGCCTGGACCATTGAAGACTCCCTCAACGACATGCAAACCAACGGCGTCCGAAAAGCCATCCTATCCGTAACCACCCCCGGCGCAGTGATCACCGGAAACAACGACACCGCTCGACCACTGGCCCGACAAATCAACGAATACGCCGCTAGCATCCGAGACCAATACCCGGAGCAATTCGGCTTCTTCGCTGCCCTACCCTCCCTCCTCGACGTCGAGGGCACTCTCGCCGAAATCCAATACGCCCTTGACGTCCTCAAAGCCGACGGCGTCACCGTATTCACCCGCTACGGAGACGGGAATTACTACCTAGGCCATGCGCAATTCACGCCCATCTGGACGGAACTGGATGCTCGGAAAACAGTCGTCCATATCCATCCCACCATGCCCGTGGACACGAACTGGATTGATCCCATCATGCCGCCCCCGATGCTCGATTTCCCGCAAGAGTCGACCCGCACGGCGGTGGATATGATCGTGAGTAATGTCACGCAGCAGTTTCCGAATTGTCCAAAGATTCTTTCCCATGCCGGTGGGACCTTGCCGTATCTGATCTCGCGACTGGCGGTCACTTCGAGAGATACTATGGATCAGGTGGGGCCGTATGGCAAGACATACTATGAGTTTATGGCTGCCTTGCGCTCGTTTTACTTTGATCTGGCGCTGTCGAGTGCTCCGGCTGTTTTGGATCTGTTGTTGGATTTGGTGCCGCGGGATCGGATTTTGTATGGTGAGTTGGAAAGGTGATTGGTGTGTGCTGTTCAGTGCTAATGATGTAGGGTCGGACTTTCCGAATGCGCCGGAGATTAAAGTGACGGGGTACCGTGAGAATCTGGATGGCTATCCGATGGATGAGGAGTTGAGAGATATGGTCTATTTTGGGAATGCGGAGAAGATCCTGCCCTAAACATTGATCAAGGGTCTTTCTGGTGCGGGGGAGGGCCGTGGGTTACTGCCCCACTAATGCTGGAGCATGCATGTGCTACCCCAATGGTAGACCGGGATTCTGTTAGAACATAGCCTGTACCACATTAGCTACTGGTAGGTGAATGTGCAGACGAATCGGAAGCACCATACAGGGCTGGTTGCGCATGTGATGCCACATTCCATCTGAAGGGGTTAGATATGTTACGCAGAAAAAAAGTACTGGGGTCACCAACACATTTCCGACCATTCCGGAATTTTACTCTCTTCCAATAGCACTGCATCATGCCTGTAATCGGTATCGTTGGCCGCAACTTTCTGTGTGTCGTGACACCCATAGCGCATCTCAATAATCACACACCTCATGCAATGCTACTCTGTGCGACTTATCCCAGACAAGGATCGCCCAATCCCAGCACATCAACTCCAATGCTCCCTAGGAAGCTTATATGACGCCATCAAGAGTTCCCGAAAATGCTGTGCCACCGTAGGCGCATCCGGATCCTCCTCTGGCCTCTTATCCAGCCGCCGCAACTTGAAGTCCAAATTGCCATCCACGAAGAACACCACACTATAGCGATCGGTTGGATTCCGATTCACCACTCGATGGAGGCTACTCTTGTACTGACCGCCAGTGACTCTGGCGATCATTTGGCCCAAATTAACGACATAGGTGTCTCGATCTGGAGGCACGCCGATCCACTCTCCGGTCTCCGGGTGCTGCACTTCCAGCCCAGAATGACCATCCTGCAGGAGTAGCGTAACGGCGCCAAAGTCCCGGTGCGCGCTGCTACTCAGTTGTCGACTCTCACCATCAATATGCTCAGACCCGGGCGGGTAATGCAATAGCCGGAGAGGGAATACCGGGGTATTGGCCTTGCAGTCATCCCAGACGTGTGGGTCGTAGGGCATGGTGGCGATGACCAGATCAAAGACAATCCAGGATAGCTTTATCAGGGCATCGTAGTATGCTTCGAGGGGTTTGCGGAAACTTTCGTCGGAGAGCAGCTCGGTAGGAGGAAAGACGTTGCGGCCTTGGAAGAAGCCTCCGTTTGCGAGTCGGGGATCGTCCAATGGGATTTCGGTCCCGTAGTAATATTCTTCCTTGAGGTCTGGTAGGACGTTGGCCTCGTAAGAGTGGGATCCCATGGGGTCGTAGCCTAAAAAGCCGACATTGTTTTTGGCGTCAAGGTTGAGCTTGACTTCGTTTGGGAGGGCGAAAAATTTGGTAGCGCCGGCAAGGAGGGAATCTTGTAGTTCACGCGGGATACCGTGGCCGCGGAGCAGGAAGAAGCCGGTTGATGTGCAGGCTGCGCGTACTTCGTCGAGGACCTTCTGACCGGCGGTGCTGGTGGGGTCGGCCAGATATGGGGTGATGTCGATTGAGGGGAGATGGAAGGTGGATGGCATTATGGATTTCACTCGTTCTCGGTGATGTATGGGGAATGATGGGTCGCGTAGAGACCTGAATAAGTGCGGGTGATGCGACGTTTATATGCAGAGACTAAACACTTACTGCAGCCTGCACAAGCTAGTGCACAGTGCGTAAGATGGTATAGGCTATAGATCTGGTCTGCAGAAAGGCAAATCCGCGCAATTAGACTGGAATGGAAAATGTTTCCTGCAAGGCCATGGTTGCAAGGACTCACGTTGGCCATATTCTAGCGGCCGTCCACTCTAGCTCATGTAAGTTTATGTACGGATGGAATCATGGAGTGTGGAGCATGCATGTGATCTGAGGGGTTGGATGTCAGGGTTTTAGTACCATGGCTGGTCAGTGTGAGGCGATTATGCGACAAAACCTGATTCTCCCGTATTCAAATAAATCGGGAAGATAGCATACGGATTCAAGTCAGAGTGTTTGCTAGCTAGAGCAAGCACAAGCTAAAAATTAGTGGACGAGGAGACAAGAACCCCGTGCATCGACCTATCTCACTAAGTTTTGCTAGAGGCGAGAAGGGTCTGGTCAGAAGCGGCGGGATCAAACTAGTCCGAAAGGATGGATCCTGCTTGACTAGTGCTGACGACGTTGTTAATTAAGTAAGTACCTTCAGCTAACTAACCCACTCCCCTCTATTATCCATGCATTCAATCACATGGGCCAACCTAGTAATCGGGCCCTCCAAAATGCGGGCCGGACCCAAGCGTGGACACTAGCTCCAAAGAGGACAAGTAACTAAGAGGGCTGCAAGGGAGGATGCATGCTTGCGCAGGACGCAGACACGTCTATTAGTGACTTTAATTATATGTAGGCTCTGCTTAGGCTTGTCTATCGAGTGTCAAAAGACGACGAATCAGAGCATCCGCGCCCCATTTCCGGGCCAATAACACGGCTCTCGATTTAACGACACATACCGAAGATATAGGAGAAGAACTTGATATGGTCTCATACTATGGAGTAGCTAGTTATCATATACAGACCTACCCTGATCACAAGGTAAGTGATCACCTAATACCGAAACTCCTGCCCAACCAACTCCTCACTCAACTTCCACAGCCTCTCGACACACTCAGAATCCCACGTATACTCCACCGTCTCACTAACCACACTATTCTGCAAATACATCGGTGCCTTTTCCTGCAAATCCGGATCCAGAGCCCCAATCAACGGGGTCGCCGCAATCTGAGTCGAATCCTTAAACCGAGGCTCCTCGAACACGAACTCCTTACCCGTATTGCGCTTCACAAGTGGGAAAAGATCAACAAAGTCATCCGTGGTGAGATTCACGCCCAGGTTGGTGTGCTGATTATACCCCGGATGGACTGCCACTGCCGAAATTCCACGATGTTTCAGGTGTTGGGTCAATCCGTATGCAAAGAGGATATTGGCTGTCTTGGACTGCCCGTACCCCGTCCAGTGGTCATATTCTCTGCCTTCGGAAAAGTTCCAGTCCTCGAAGCGGAAGGGTGTGATGAGGTAGGCTGTGCTGGTCAGGTTTACGACGCGGGCTGTTCCAGCAGCCTCGAGGGCCGGAACGAGTAGATTGGTGAGGAGGAAATGGCCCAGGTGGTTGGCAGAGAGATTGTACTCGAATCCTTGCTTATCGAGTGTGTATTCCTTGATTGCCATCACGCCGGCACTGTTGATCAAGACGTCGATTTTGGGGGCTGCGGCGAGGATCTCATTTGCGGCGCGTCGGACGGAGTCGTGGTCGGTCAGGTCTACCTGTATTGCTGTGGTCTGGATGCTGCTGTCGATCGCTTGGATCTCGTCTAGCACGGGCTGCACATTGCTGAGGGTGCGGGAGGCGATGAGGATATGTGCCGGTGCGGCTTTGGCGAGTGAGGTGGCCATTTTGTTGCCGATGCTGAGCTTGCTGGCGCCGGTGATGACGAAGGTTTTGCCTTCGATTTGGGAGCTGAAGGCCTCGATGACCTGCTCGCTGCTGGCGGTGGCGTCGAAGATGGCCATATTGGGCGATGGCAGGGAAGGCTTAATTTGAACAATTATAGCTGAGTGTTAATGTAGAAGTAAATAGAGAGAAGAGACGTGTTTGGCAGCTAAGCCGGGCATAATCGATGATATTTATATGAACAAGCCAGGATGTAAACTGATTAGTATGCCGGGCTCTGGGAGACCATTATCTTGGAGATTGAAAGGACCCGAATCTTTGATCCTGAATGACATTTGTAATCAGCAGCATCCTCCGTTCTTCTCTCCGTAAACTCCGATATGCTTACACCTCAACAATGCCTCGGAAGGGATGGAGCCTGGCTTATTTCTAATCATTGAGCAATATAGCGTCCTGTTATGATCCTGCGGACGAGCAGCAACTGGGAATCGTTGACAATGTTAAATAATGTGCACGTATCTCATCAAATGGGGCTGTGGTTTAGTGGTATAATATTCCCTTAGCATGGGAGAGGTCCGGGGTTCGATTCCCCGCAGCTCCATTTTTTGTGATTTTTAGTTGTTTCGTTATCTACCCGTCTACTATCTGACTCTCTGTTTTCTTCTGGCTTTTGTTTTGGTGGGCTGTGATAATTTCATTCAAGGAGTGTAACTACTTGGTGTGCTTCACGAGAAATCCCATATCATCCTCTTGGAAATGCGGACATGCCCCGCAAGACATTCAATACTCATTGCAGTCGACCCACAGGGAATACCTGGATTTTTTCATAGTATGGCGGAGCTCCACTGGCAGAATAATCCTAGATAAACGCCATGTGCTCAAAGACATATTTGGACTCTCCGAGTCTTTTCGGAAACCCCCACCTATAGACATGACAGCGCCGCCAGGTTGAAGCTTGTCAAATGGTGTCAACCTTTAACAAACTTGATCCCAAACCAGCAAATATTTTTCACACCTCACTGCAACAAGTCCCATGACAACAATACCGCCACGCAGTGAACGCATCCCGCCCCATAACCGATTTCGATGAAGTCTTGACCAGCGAAGCAACCAAGACTTCCCAATATATGCACGTGATTCTGATCAGTTGAATGGACGTTCCATATATTATTCCGTGTGTTAGTTCAGCAAGGAAGCCGAATAAAGTGCGATAGGGCACGGCAGAGTATAGCGAGGGAGGATGTTTCCCTAGTTGTTCGCGTACTTTGCAATCCATTATAGGGGTCTACTAGGCACCGGTTCCTGTGGATTATATCCGAAAGGGCCCTGGTATTGGGCTGTAAGCTTCGCGGCCTTAGCGATAGCTATGAGCTAGAGGGAATCGGGTTGGTTCAAGACGAATACTGGATGTCTTTGTGCCAGCGATGAGAACTGTCAACGCATCCGAGAAGAATACCGTTGTCATGAGATTGATGTAGCACGACAGTGAAAGCGGAGACAATAGTACAATAGCAATGGTGACTCGGTGTAATGGCAGAGCGCCGCCAGCGGTAGCATTGCTTTGTCTTAGTGGTTAGACATAGTCGTCCACCAGCTGATCCGTATCCCCTGTGAGTCGAATGATTTGGTCTGCGTGGGTGGCGCTGTATAAAGACTCGCTAGTATTAGCGGCAGCAGAGTATGTGTGACAGCGTGCACGGTGAGGGGTACATTTATTGTAGAAAGTGACTGGCCCATCAGACCGGACTTTGCATGTAGTACCATCTTTGGTGATGGATAGATGATAAACCTGACTCGTGGATACCTCGTGGGTCTCTTGCTGTCGGGTGTCTTCAATCATCGTGTACTTCTTGTCCATATTGTTCGTATATCATATTCTCTAGCCGTTTATGTAGGCCAGGGATGCGATCGAATGCTCAGGGTGTGTCCTTCTTGAGCCCAGGGTACTATGAGATCATGAACAAGAAGGCCGGGCATAACATCGAGTACTTAGACCGGGACAGGAATACGAAGTAACTCAGGAGTGCCAAGGCTGGATCCCACAATAAGAACTCGGCCGAGGCCATGTCAGACATCAATTATCCCGCTCAGTGCGGAGGTAACTTAATCCACCAGGATTAGCGTGCCATCAGACCTGCGATATTCTTCTTGTTATTCTAGAATGCAGCATGGCGCTAGATGAATATTGTCCTTCGTTTGGGAATCAGACCAGCGGTGTGAGGTCCTATGAGTGTGTCTGGTGGTTGATGGTGCACCATCAAGCGCATATCATGAATACCCCTATGAGTTGTCATACAATATGAAGATGGCAAGACGCCTTTTTGGACCGGGGTAAGGGAGGTTTGTCAAGGCCATATAGGTCTCTAGCATAGAAGCTGGCGTCTGACTCCGCGTCCGAGGCGTTAGGACCAACATAATATGACTTTAAATATCTTCACTCCCACTGATCTACTGCTGTTGGTTGATGCGTGAGATACTTGAGACTCCTATTTGCCGCCGGAGTTTTGTAAAGCGTTCTTTAGGCAGGATTTAGTGAAGAAGCCAGTGAGTTTGTCTTTTTGAGCTGACTATCTCAACAGAGAGGTTCTTGTCGACCCTATCACGTAGTATGTGATACCGGGATCTTGATGTGTTTCACCTTCCTGTGGTCTCCGGGGTTTCTCGCAAGTGCTGAGTTGTTATCAATTAGCACGGGTGTCTTGTGCTGTTCTAGGTCCTCATCAATTTATAGGGTCTGCAGATACTCTGGCAATAGTCGTTGGGTCCATACGACCTAGTTGGACAGGTCTGATGCGGCGATGTATTCTGCTTCTTGTGCGGATTGGGCTACCACTTTTTGCTCCTTTGATGCGTAGGACAAAGTAGAGATTGCGCCTTTTTGATGATTTGCACACATGCGTCCTGCTTCAGGCGTCGTATTGACAGGAATAGACGACCAACTGCTCCATGTTGACCAGCCAGACTGCTAAGCATATATGTAAACGTCATGAGTGTTTAGGACGTGGGATCCTCAATGGTAGGAGCGCAGGTGAAGTACATATTGACTAGGAGAAGCTGCCAGTTGATCATTCCTGGGACGTAGAGATTCATACTGTCCAGAGGCAAATTGCGGACCAATGTGGTGTTGTGATATAATATAGCGCATCATGTTCGAGGCAATCAACCCGTTGTGTTAATTATGGACATGCCCAGAAGATATCAGCATGAGAAGACGGTCTGGTTCGATGAGACCCATTGTTATGCCACCTGCAAGGTCCAGCTAACAGGTTACTGACAATTGGCAGATTCGTTGATCAGCTTGAGACGGCAGTCTTTGTATTCTGGCCTAAGTTTACCACGGTGTGATTGGTGAGTCTGACCGGAAAGGCAAGGCTAAAGTGAGAGAGAGGGTGGAATGGAAGCCCCAGGCGATACAGCCAGCCAGCCAGGCACACCCTGTTGCAGAAGCAACAATAAGGACTTTATTGGTAATGCATGTCTGGGTAAATATTGACTTCGAGGAGAGGATCATTTCCATTAAGATCATGACAGTCATACAGCATGGCGGCATCTGACAGGTTGATGTAGGAATGGTACACAAGTGATGTATCACATCTACCTGCTCCAGAGGTCAGTGAATAGGAACACGACCAATATGTCCCTTTTCCCCTGTAGTGACAAGGTGCCATCACTCCGTCATGCAGGTATAATCTTGTGCGATATTGAATCAAGTATCGAACACGTCAGGATCTTGAGATCCTTTATTTGCCGCCAAGGCTGCCAGATTCCATTATAGTTGTCAGCGGGAAGGGTGGACTGTGGACTGAGAGCTCCTTGAAGAATAATCGCTCCAGAAATGCGAAGACAGCATCGATTTATAGGTCGATCCAAGAACTTGACGGTCAACTGATGTGCGGAAACTGTTGCCTGAAATGTCGGAGCTTCCCTACTTTTTCATTTTCATCGACGAGCCCCCTGGGCATTATAGACATCTCCCTAGCGAATATATATGCAGCCATGGCAGATGCAGTGGGAAAGGCAGAAGAGACCCGGGAGATTGTTCACTAGACTTCGGATTTGTCGACCTCATCCTGATCCCTGGGCAAAAGTCCGTTTCTTCAGTCAATATAAGCCTGGCTTTTCTTCATCTACAGCTTTATTCAGGCACCATCAAGCTGCACCCGAGTGTCCAACATCCCGCCACATCACCACACATCTGCATCCAATCCTCACTTTGCACCTTGGAATCCACAGTCATCTAGCCATGCCATTTTTCAACCTCGAATGGACTGGTTTCGGGAGCCAACCGATTCACCATGACCCCCTGGGTCGCTGCACCCACAAAGACGCAATTCGAATCCTGAAAACGTCTTTGGAGTCGGACGAAGATGACACCCTGACGCAAGCAATCGCAGACCTTTATGAATGGCTCCCCGAACGATACGGCGGCGCCGTAACTTCTGGTACTAACATGCTATCACGAGTCATCATGATCTTCGCCGAGCAAATTCCGCACGCGGACTGCGCCCAGGACCGTTTGGCGTTGCTATTCAAAACGGCATCCAAATTCAATCGGGTGATTACGGCGGAAGAATTAGAAATGAGATACGAAGTGCCAGGAGTAAGATATGATTGAGTCGAGAGCTGCTGGGACGGTAAAAAGCTGATTTGACATCAGGCTGGCTGCGCTGTCTTCATAAATCAAATGGAATCAAATCTTGATCGGATGGAGATGTTTGGTATGTTGGTCCTGTTTTGTTCCCCTAGATCTTGATTCCCTGTCTTGTTGAGGCTGGCAACGCCCATGGAGTTCATGCCATCGGCGTTGATATTATGTTGAGACTAACACCAGACAGAAAGATTTCATCCCGAAGAACGGAACAGTTTTGTCAATTCCAGAGCCTCCATTGCGCGTCTTTGCGACAATGGATCCTACGGAGGCCAGAGCTGGTTGATCACCACGATGAGGATTGCCTTTGAAGATAAAGAACGCCCGCCTGATGAAGCCGTTCCCTTTCTTGTCCTGGAAGCAGCGATGTGTATCATCTATGCGGGCCAATGGGTCTATCAGACGATTGTGAAGGGCAAGGAAGGCAGTCTGGACGGTTTTCAGAAAGTGCGCGGAGTTGGGGAGCTCTACGGGGGACCGGTGCTCGGGTACAAGCGATGGAAAGTTTGGCAGGATGGGTTTGGCAAGGCGATTGAGAGTGGGGAGATCGATGGTGCGACTAGGATCTATGTGAGTAAGGCGCAGAGTTTGATGGTTGCTTTTGATTCGATCCTTGGGACGGATGAGAATTGACCACAGAGGAATAAGCGTCCTGCTTATGATAAGCCTGGTTTTTAGACATCTCGGAGCACCGGATGAGGACTGGCTTCCTGCCTACAAACATGATTCTAGCCACAGATGATTTGTATTCGACAATTCCACCTCCCATGTGCTCAGACACACTTGAGAAGCCCTAAAACCCCCACTGCCGCAACCAATTCATCATATCATCCCTCGTAACCGGCCCAAGTGCCGCCATAGTTCTACTCGATGTCTTGGCCTTCTCTACATCAAGCGGGACTAATAGCGTCCTATCCTCCGCGAACTCACGATAAAACTCAAGGAGCTTGAGAGCCGGTTTCTCGGCGATATCCTGCTCGGACGGATTACTCACACCTTCCAGCTGCTTCACCCAAGTCGAGAGATGTACTGGCTTCATATGGGGATACATCTCCTGAGCTGCCGGCAGGAGCGATTCCCAGGCTGTTTTGGAGGGATTAACGAGGTGGAAGACTGCATTTGAGGGGCTGATGTTGGTTGAGCGCGCGTGGATGAGTTCGATAATAATTTTCGCTAGAGTATCCTACAATAGCGTTAGCATTTACCTGGAGGTACCTGGGTGAAAGGTGAGGGATTACCACAGCGATCCAATCCACCGCCCTCGAGCCCAGCATTTCGGGAACCAGTCCCATCGCTTTCGAGGTAGCAATGATGGTAGGAAGCCAGTCGTGGACATTCCACTGCCCTTTCGCAGTGGTGGGACCAGCAATCTGCCCAACCCGGAATACAGTTGTTGGTACGCCTGACCGTCGAGACGCTTCGTAGCAGATCCGTTCGGATATATACTTGGATTCGCTGTAGCCTTGGTTCGGACATGCGTCGCAGTTTTCAATCGGTAGCTCTGGGACAGTTGCTCCCATTTGCGAGGTCCAGGCTCCCACCGTGCCGACGGAGGAGATGAAGTAGAAATACGCGCGATGTTTACTTTGCAGACTAAAGTCGATGAAGTGACGCACGCCCCGGATATGAGGGTCTTCGAAGGAGTACACGCTGTGGTTGAAGTCGACTTTCCAGGCGTTGTGGATGATGGTGTCGACGGAATTGAGGAGTTCTTCGTATTTGCTGTGGTTGAGGCCGAATTGGGCATGTCCGAATGAAACTGTCAGATATTCGACCTTTTCCAGGTGGGATGCTAGATGGGTTAGGCCTTTTGCTTCGAAGATTCTCTCTTGTTTGGCTTTGGCGTCGCTTCTGTTGAGACAGTAGATTTTGGCAATGCTCTGGTCTTGTAGGAGGACGTCAAGGAGATAGGTACCGAGAGAGCCGGTAGAGCCGGTTAGAATTACCGACCTTTGTGGGGGGTTTGATCCGTCCTGATTAGGGGAAAAGTTCTTAAATGGCAGGTCCGCTGTATACTTTTCCACCAGAGCATTGAGTTTCTCTGGTCGAGCGGCCTCTTGTGCGTTGCTACCGTGCAGAACCTGTAGCAGTAGCTGGGCCAGTTTCTCCACGGTCGGGTTGGCGTACACCATCTGGGTAGTCAGATCGATCGGAGCTGTGCTGTCGCGGTGTGAAAGCAGAGCGCTTCGTAGATATTTGGCGAGCTGCATAGTCTGCAATGAGTCAAGACCAAGTTTATAAAGATCTTCCTGACTGCCAAAGTCATCTCGTTGGAGGATTTTGCTAGCCAAACGATGGATGTATTGAGTGAGATTCGACAAATCCGGCTTTGCTGGAAGCTCTGCAACCGCCACAGTGCTCTCGTCACCCTTGGAATAGATGGCATCAATTTCATCGGCGTAGTCCTTTAAGACGGCTGCTCTTCGCGTAGACCCTTTAGGTGTCGTCTGAAATAGTCTATCTCTCCTCGAGAGCCCAATTTTGTCTTTCAGGACGCGTCCATGAGCGGCAACCGTTCGGTTCGCTGCCTCTACCGCAGGCCATATTTCCTCAATAAAGGACTTGGGATCAATGTCAGATTCTGACGAATCCCAATATGGCTCTACCAATAGCGCAGTGTGAAATCGTGACTTTCCCACCACCAGCGCTCGTGAGATGAGAGGGTGCGCCTCTATCATGGTTTCCAGGCTGACCGGATTAAACTTGAAACCATTGCTCAAGACAATCACATCATCCAGACGACCGTGGTGCTTCCACAGTTGAGTATTAGTTGGGTGCTGGATGAAGAGATCCTTCGTGTGATATTCCAGGACAGAGGGAAACGTATGGCAGGTGCCATGGTAATCGCGCGTGGGTGGACGAGGAATCACCAGCTCATAGATCCCATCGCCGATGTGCTCCATGGTGGCGCCGTAATTGGGATTCCACTCGAAGTAGCCATAATCTTCGTCTTTCTCGGGAACTATGGACGGGATGAGACTGGTTTCGGTTGATGCCAGTGCTGTGATCAGTTTGGTGTACTTGCGTACTCTTTCTCCCGTTTCAGGGGCAAGGGGTGCGCCGCCAAAGTAGATGCTCTCCAGGGTACCTAATGTAAGTAGGGCTTCTTCGGACGATGATACATCGTCGAGGACTGACGGAGGAAGAAGTGCTGTGGTTGGTTGGCCAAATTTGATGAGATCGGTCAACAGGCCAACCGAGAGTGGCTTCTCCGGCCCATAGAGAAAGGGCACCGCATGGAAGATGGATTCGGTGAAAGCGGCGATGCCCATCATATGGAAGAATGGGACCACGCTGACTGCGAGGTTGCCGGGGCCCAGATCGGAAAAGAAGGTCAGCCGCCGATTATCAGGGCGGGGAAGATAGGCGATGGCATCCAGGGTGCTGAAGTAGCCATGAGTCAGGGGGATGGGCTTGGGCATTCCTGGAGACGTTGCTTAGCTCATAGTTCTGCTGTTGTTTGGATGCTGGGTATACCTGTTGATCCAGAGCTGTGCACAATGAGAAAGACCTCATCTTCGGCCTCGTCGTAGGACTGAGTGAAGGGGTAGGGACGAATGCCCTCTTCCGATTCCAGGATATCATCTAAAGATGGCAACTGAAAGAGATCTAGTTCGGGACGAAGCTGCTTCAGTTCCGTCGCCTTGCGCTCTCGCTCCACGCTATAGAAGAACCGATTACACTTGGTCTCGTCTAGCAAGTAGAGTTGAGCTTCATTCGAGTTTTTGCTAGATGGCAGGAATGGCTGTTTGGGTCAGCCTGCTGTGGTAGTAGGCCATCCTCTGAGTCCCACCTTATAGCCGGTCTTATGGCATGCGATGATGAAGATGATGTAGCGAATGTCATTTGCTCCCATGTAAACTACTGTGAGGCAGGAAGCTGGGCCTCTGCCAGCTTGTGCTTCGATCCACCAGCACATGGAATTGATGGCGCGAGCAAGGTCCCTCATCGTAACCTCCCGTAGGCCATCTGACAGCTCGGACCCCTTGGGCATGACGCAGAAGCGTCTGCCAGGGTCTTGCTCGGCGATGGCATCCACCTCGGTGGTGAGGAGCCGTTTGCGAAGGACATTTTCGGGGATGGCCATGATAGCTGACCGCTCAATGCAGGTGCAGGTGGCTGATCTCCGATGCTCGGAGGATGGTTCTTATATCCGGATGTCAGCCCAACCCGCGTGACGGAACACGTGACGAGAGGCTATTTATTGGACAGAGAGCCTCGTATACTTTCTCTCTGGTGGATATATATCTGATGAAGATGGATCCTTCCGCCACCAATCTTATCCACCATCCCGCATGAGGTTATTCCCACTCCAGTGCAAGAAGTAGCTATAGCCATGTGATTTTTCAGCCGTTTTTCATGACACACCTAGTTCAATCTTTATAAAAGATTCTTCTATCAAAATACGGGTATTGACATTTTCCATCATGATCACATCTAAACATACAAACCTAGAATAAAAACCACTAAAAGCCCTAATCGCAATATACTATTCCCATCCCCTCTGCAACACACCCTACCACCCCCCCAAAACCCCTCAAAACCTCCACCCGACACCGCGGCATCGCCTCCGCAATCGGTCTCGCTAGCGACTCCACCGGCGTAGCCTGATCCAACCCCCTGCACGACTAACCCAGGGATCGTAAAGCCCGCATACCGCTCCCCCATCTCCCACTCGAACAACGCCTTCGCATTAAACCGAAGACAATACGCAGGCCACTCCGCTGCCTCCAACGCAGTAGGCGTATCAAGACCCATATTGGTATAAAACGCTACACCCTGGGACGGATCTTCCATGCCCGGAGTGAGCATCTCGTAGGGTAAGACCGTGGCGATGCGCACCCCATCGAAGTAGGTCCCGTTTGGATCAGACCGGCTACGCGGTCCGGGTATGCGAGACACGCTGCGCGATGGAGCCGCTCATGGAGTGGGTGACTAGGACGACGGGGTCGTGGATGGGGCAGGTGGTGAGCACGGTGTGGAGGTGCTTCGGTTGGTGGTTTTGGTGAAAAGGTTGATGCTATTGTTTATACCGACAGTGGGATGATGCGTCATCGATGAAGATCGGATGGAGCATTGCCATATGGGATGTCGATGCTTTGAGTGCTTGGCACGCCAGGTTGTAAGCGTGGTTCGGATGTTGGACAACATCCGTCCGTCCCGTGCTGCTTATGGGCGTTGCCTTTTGGCATTTTAAGACATGGTAGCGTGCGATGGCAACGGAGCGCAGGATTGAGTTCCGGATGTACTGTCTCTATAGGTGTTGTTCAATCCCTGATATGGTTTGTCATGACGCCCAGAGATCTATGTATCACCGAGGAAGCCATATAAGTGCCATCAATACTTCTCATTTCTTCAACGTCTCCAATTAGGTGATGGCGGAGGCAACATCATAAGGTTTGTAGATAGGAACTGTGATGGGATTTGACCAGGCTATGTCGATATTTTAACATGGTCTAAATTGTGGTCACCATGACCAAAGCTAATGCATCCGTCTATCTAATTTTCTAAGTGTCTAAAGCAGGTTACTTCCTCCACCGGCGAAGCTGCACACGCACCAGCCACGTCACCCCAAACAGCAAGACAAAATTGGTCACACACAAGGCCAGAAGTGCACCCGCGTCGCGTCCCCGGGCACTATAGTAAAAGTGCAGCGTGCGCGCGTACTCGTCGCCCACCGAGTACGGACAGAACGAGCAGGATTGGGTGGCCGTCGGATTGAGCAGATAGCCCGGGTGACCATCGCGTCGGGGCAACAGGAGACCTTGTTGCTGGAGGGGTGGTCTGAGCATTTTGCGGCCCAGACGAACCCGCGCTCGGCCGCCCTGGAAGATCCCAGTCTCGGGTCCACCCAGCTGCTCCTCCTGAACGCCATGTACGCCTATCAACTCATGCGACCGAATGATGCCTATCTGTACCTCGGTCATGCGGCCCGCAATGCAATGGTGTTGAGGCTGAATCGGTTCCAGGTCATGGACGGGACCAACGTGACCGTCCACGCGCTCAAGCGCACCTTCTAGACCCATCTACGCCTATGAGCGCATGAATGCCCTATACGCCGGTCGGCCGTCCGCCTTCCGGGACGAGATGATCGATGCCCCCGTACCCCGAGGACCTCTCCGGCCCGGTGATGCGCGACAGCCCGACCGCCAGCAGCAATCACGACGACCCGGCCCGGCTCGGCGGTTTCATCCGCGCCATGGCAGGCGTCGGCCGCGTCGCCGACCAGGTGTTCCTCAAAATCTACTCGCCTGCCAGCGTCACCAGCATGGCACATCTCTCGCAGTTGCCAGCAGTGACAGCGGAGATCGATGGGCTGCTGAGCGCCCTGACGCGCGACCTCCCTCTCTACCTCCACTTCTTCGACCCCACGCTCCCCATTGGCTCGAGCTAGCAGGAAGTGCAACGTCTGACACTCGGCAGTCATTACTACCTCGCGCAGATGCTAACGCATCGCCCGGCCCTGCTCTTCCGGGCCCACCAGCGGCAAGGCTGTGAGTCTGGATGTGATGCGCATCGCCAAGGGGGCATTGCATCCCGTCCACCGCCGCCGACGGACCGCCGCCCGACCCGGCGCTGCATATTCCCGCCACGGAGCCGAATTACATGTCCTACTGGCTCGAAGCCGGGTTTTCTCCGGAGAACATTCCGAGCTTCTCTTTTCTAGCCCTCCGGGGTTTGTCTTGGGCAAGGTGCTATCAAAAGACAACTCATCAAATTGACATGGGGGAAATGGCCGAGCTGTGTGACCGTTACCTGGTCAATGATTAAGATTGGATGCATTATTTATTTCATTACTGCTTCACAGTATGATCTTCCGGGGCTGGGATGTCTACCAGGCCCTTGCGCTCCTTGGTCCGCCACTGGATGGCCTTGAGAATGCCGTACAACACCGTCAGGGTAGGCATGGGAACCCCCCTCGCCTTGCCCTCCTGCAACGCCTCCCCCACGATATTCTCATACTCGCAGAACCGCCCCTTGCGCACGTCCACCTGCATACTGGGCGGGTTGTACATGGTGATGGGGTCCATGGTGATCATAAAGTCCACCAGCTCGGGGGGTAGATCGTGCCCGCAGGCCGTGGCCGCGGCCCGGATCTCCTCCATGGCCGGTCGGACCAGGTTGTCGAGGGCTCCGTCGGCCAGCTGGATGCGACCGGTGTCCAGATCCGTGATGGCACAGATCGAGTTCAAGCAGGCATTGTACAACAGCTTCCGCCAGCGGCTGAACCCGACATTGGGGTTAAACTCGGGCTTGCATTTGCCGCTGGCCCCATAGATCGCGCAGAACTCTTTGGCGGCCTCGTCTTCTTCCTCGGGATTCAGGTTGGGGTTGCGGAATGCTCCCACGTAGAGCTCGTCGTCGTCTTCGTGGAGGATCTTCCCGGTGGCGACCTCATGGGAACCACAGAAACTGACGCCCGACAAGACGATGTTCTCGGGGAATGCCGCGATGAGGGGCTTCTCGATGTTGAGGCCATTTTGGACCAGCGCAATGCGGGTGTAGCCGCGGGTGACGGCCGGCCGAATGATCTCTGCCACGGTCGGGGGCACATCGGGGTAGTTCTTGGTGGTGACAATGATGTACTTGTATGGGGGGAGGTTCTCCTGCTCGACGTCGGGGATGGTGTTGCGAACTGCCACGGGCTTGTTAGTGAGGATCTGCCTCATTTCAGGGGATGTTACATACGGATTGATGGCCGGAAGCCTTCCACTTGCCCGTGATCGACGGACTTGATGGAGAAGCCGTGAGCTTTGACATGCTCATAATTCGACCGCAGGACCGCCGTGACGGTGGCTTTGCCTCCGGTCTCGAGATTCAAGGCACTGATGGTGCCGATGCCCCCGCAGCCGATCAAGAGGATGTTGGCTTTGTCGTGCATGGTGGCGGATGAGGAGAGTCAGGTTGAGATGACCGGTTCTCGGGACATTACTGGCGGCGATATAAATGTTGGACGATAACAAGGGCAGCCAGAGACTGGCCCTACTTAGTTGGACGGATTACTCACGGGGCGATGCTATCGGGGCTTATCGGGGATGGTTATCAGCCCTGGATTCCGCCCATTGCAGCGATCGGCGATCCAACCCCGCCTGTCCGCCACGCCAAAAAGGCAGGCCATCCCGCCCTCGCCTTCCCCAGCTCCCGGCAACTGTCCTTGCGGCCGACCTTCCCCTCACATTACTCTGATCCCCCGTTTATCTGCTTCCATATCGCGGCTTATCGACGCTCCATGACATCAGGGTCGGTTCTTACTACGACCACGGCGTCTCGCACCGTCAAACCGGCAGACGCCCCGGCCCGGTCTCGCTCTCTGGGAGGGTGTGAAACCTGTCGGAGGCGTCATGCGAAATGCGATGAGACCCGTCCCTCGTGTCTCGTGTGTGAACGGGCAGGGTTGGTGTGCGAGCGGTATGAGATCCGGCTGTTGTTCGATGCCAGCGACAGCCAGGGTTCCCGATGCCGCCGGCCGCTGTTTACCGAGGACATGCGCCAGCGCATGAGTGAGCAATTGGCGGCCAGCTTGGATCCCGACGATGTTCATACCCTCCTGACCCGAATGGACGAGCACTGCGAGAAGCAGGAAGAGGAGACTACCACCAACTTTACGACCCACCTGGGGCCTTTTGGTGCCTTCCGCCTCGTGCAGCCGGAGATGGACCTCTCTGCGGCCCCGGTGCATCCGGTCGAGGCGCCGTCGCCAGAAGACAGTCCACCGAACGTCGGATGGGACATGGCCTTGGATGATGCCTTTAGCAATGATCCCCTCATGGAGTGTCTCTTCGGGCATGTCAATGTCGATGCCACCGGGGACCTGGAGGCGCAGGACTTCTTCGCCACAACCCTACCATTCCCGGACAGTGACGACTTTTCCCCGCAATCAGTGACAGGAGGCTTTCTCATGGGATCGTCATCGATCCCCTTACAGACGTCTTTGCTCTCGTCCCCGGAGATCCGATACGCCCCGTCCGTGCCCAATTTGGCCCCCCCAGATGCCCCCTTATTGCTGGCTGCCTACAGGAACCATGTGACTGCCCTCTTTTCGCCCATCCAACTGGAGAAGAGCCCCTGGAGCATGCTCTATGTCCCTCCCGCGATGGAGACGCTGGCTCTGTTGACGATGGGGGAACTGGCCAACAACACCCGGATGTCGATCTTCTATGCCATCCTTGCCATCAGTGCCTTCACCCAGCGACTCTCCACAGCCCGCAGCGCAACCGAGTACTGGCAGCGACAGGCAGAGACTTTTGCCGTCGAAGCCCAGAATCATCTCAAGCGAGCCCTGCATGATGCGTCGTCGAGCGTCAAGAAGACGAAATACAAGGATGTCCTGATCGCATTGCTGTGCATGAACACCGTTTCAGTACGTATTCCTTGGCTGCAGGAACATAGAATCTCACGCGATATAGGCTTACCAAGGAAGCCCGGAGCGGGTGCGGCGGTGTCTGCTGGACTGTGAGAATTGGATCCAATTTCGAGGTCTACCCAAGACGAGAAAATCCCGTAAGGTTCGTTTGCTGCACCATTGCTACGTGTATCTCCGCATCTTCCAGGAGAGCACCTCGGTGCTGCCGGTGCCCCATGTAGAGGAACCCGATCATGCCTCCCCCGAGACAGTGCGCTCCGTCGCCTCCACCCGCTCGTTCCGGCTGCGGCAATGGGAGGGTCGACTGGACCAGCGAATGAGCGAGTTGAAGGAGCAGCATCAGGGCGAGAATGACTTGCACCTGGAAATCCCCGGACGCTGGGATTCCACCATGTACCCGCAGATCTTTGGCCTGCCCGAGTCGTTGTTGTTCCTTCTCTCGCAAGTCACTCGGCTGGGAAACGAGCGCGACCTCTCCGATGCGGGCCACGGCACCGGCGTGTTGGACTTTAAGCAGTTCGCCGCGCGGGCACGGAGCCTGGAGCGGTGCATCTCCACCTGGCGGCCACCGCTGCTGCCGGAGGGAGATGCCGACAGCATCGTTGGCCAGGCCAACGCCACGCTGATCCGTTTGATGCTCTCCGCACTCCACAAGGCCCTGTTAATTTTCTTTTACCGACGCATCTACGATGTAGACCCCATGATCTTACAAGACAAAGCGTGGCAAGTCCGGGACGCCCTCGCCCAGGTGGACCGGGAGGACGCCCCGGCGACGCGCGTGGCTGCGCCGTTCGTCTGGGCGGCGTTCATTGCCGCCTGCGAGGCCTTGGATCCCAGTCTCCAGGACTGGTTTGCGACCTGGTTCGAAACGTCCGCTCGGCGCAGCGGGCTGGGGACCTTTAAGCTGGCCCTGCGAACGGCCCAGCAGGTCTGGGAGCGCCAGCGACACCCGTTGAACAGTAATGCTAGCACCAGTTGGCCACAGATTATGCGGGAGAGCCATCTGAGCCTGTTCTACATCTAACGACTTATAAAAATCATGTCATTGTCATTATACCCAATGCATCGTACAATCATTACCCGCGTCGGTCGCTCACTGTAGAAACCTCCCGTTGGACCGTTCCAGCTCCATTTCATAGTCCGGTTGGAACTCACAGTATAACGCCTCCTGTTGTCGTCAGCACTACCCACCACTACCGCTGGATGGACTTACCGGGTCGCTGGTCATCTTGAATGTGAATGCGGCCGCTTCCGGCTCGATGAGCTTCTTTTCCATCCCTTGTGCCGCCGCTGCATCCACCTGGAGTTGAATCTCGCAGCTCCGCTCGGCCAGGGTAAACAGGTACGCCGCCTCATCGACGGTCTCGCCGACCGTGAGGAGGCCGTGGTTCCGCAAGATCAACAGCTTGCCGTTGTTCCCCAGGTGTCGGCCCAGACGCAAGCTTTCTTCCGTCTCGAGGACTACGCCCCCAAACTCTGGATAGACTGCCTGCGCGTCGCCATAAAACATGGTGACATCCTGATTAATCATGTCCAGTGGTTTGGCAAACGTCGACCAGGCCTTGCCGTACTTGGAGTGTGCATGACACGCCGCGTTCACCTGGGGATACATCTTGTGGAGGACGCCGTGGATCTGGAATCCGGCCGCATTGGCCGGGCGCGACCGATTCCCGCCTACTGGCTCGCCAGCGTGGTTGAGAAGAATCAGGTCAGACACCTTGACCTGGCCGAAATGGAGACCCAGTCTGGGAAGGGTCAGCAATGAACACCGGCAGCAGGCAGACGTACGGGTTGGTCCAGAAGCAGTCCGGATGCTCCGGGTCACGCAAGGAGATGTGGCCACTCATGCCTTCGGAGAACCCCTTGCGGGCAAAGACTCTGAAAGCCCCCGCCATGTGCTCGAGCATCCATCGTCGCTTTTTGTCCATGGATGTGAAGGATGGGACCCCGGGGAGAGTGTTGCCCTGAGAGATGGCCTGGATGGCTGATTTCCCTTGGATGTTGGACTCGACTTGGGCCGGAGGCTCCTCTTGTGTCGGTACAGTGGCCGTGGTGGTGGAAGACATGATGCTGCGACAAGACTGGCGTGCAGGAAAAGGGTTACACGACAGGCGCGGTGACTGAACGAACAGACAGGTCTCATTCAGCCGTGTTTATAAAAAAGTCTATTCCGCGGAGTGGCGATCCGTAACCCAGTTGCCGATTCTGAACCACACGAGTTAGGGTAAGCCAATGGAATGGAATCAGGCAGGTTATCAGAGTCCAGCAGGGAAGACTTTCCTATCTGGCCAGCTGATAGCCCGGGCTAGTCAGAACGGTGGATCTGCTGATACGGCAATCAAGACTAGCTGCAGCCCGCCAGTCGAGATACAGGCCCTGCTTCTCTGCACTGATGCAGGCGCTGACGGTGGTCTGGCCAATGCCGGCGCATCAGCCACCATGACAGCCGAGTCTCGTATCTCCTCTTTATCTGGTATCTTGATCTGCGGCGGCGACGGCCAAGACACCCCGGATTCGACTACATATAGTGCTCAGATTACCATGGGCCTTTTGTGTATACCCTGAATCTTTCTCCACTTTCACTGCCTTTGTAGCAATCATGACCAACAATATTGATACGACCGACAAACCAGTCGATGTACTCGACCGCACTCCTTCCTATGCGGAAGGTCAGATCCTTCCCAACGATGTCATCCACACCCAGCGTGGCATCAAGTCCCGCCACGCTCAGATGATGGCCATTGGCGGCACCATCGGGACGGGTCTGTTTGTGGGGGTGGGTGAAGTGCTCGCCCGGGCGGGCCCTGCCAACATTCTGCTCGCCTACATTGCTATTTGCATCATCGTATATGCCATTATCACCGCCACCAACGAGATCAACACGTACCTTCCTTTCAGCGGCTGCTCCATGGCTGCCTACGGCACCCGATTTGTCTCCCCCAGCCTGGGCTTTGCCATGGGTCTTCTCTACTGGTACAGCTTTGGTATTCTCGTGGCATACGAAGTGACGGCCGCCGCTTTGGTCATCGACTACTGGCCCAACAGCGTCCCCATTGCTGTCTGGATTACCATCATGCTGATCGTCGTTGTCGGTCTCAACTTCTTTCCGGTCAAAGTCTACGGCGAGACCGAATTCTGGTTCGCTTCGCTCAAAGTCTTCCTCATCCTCGGCCTCCTGATCTTGTCCTTTGTCCTCTTCTGGGGCGGCGGTCCCAACCACGTCCGTCTGGGCTTCCACTACTGGAAACACCCGGGGGCATTCAACACATATCTCGTCTCCGGCGACACTGGCCGCTTCTGCGCCTTTCTCTACACCCTGTGCTATTCCGTCTTCTCCTTCAACTTTGCCCCTGAGCTTCTTGTCCTCGCCGCCGGCGAGATGCGGAACCCGCGCAAGAACCTCCCTCGCGCGGCGAAACAATACTTCTACCGGCTCATCATCTTCTACATCCTCGGTGTCCTCGCCATCGGCGTCATCTGTCCCAGCAACGCCTCGGGCCTGACCACCGGCACCGGCGTCGCCGCCTCCCCGTGGGTGATTGCCATCCAACGCGCCGGGATCCACGGACTCGACAGCGTCGTCAACGCCGTGATCATCACTTCGGCCTGGTCCTCGGCCAACTCCTACCTCTACATGTCCAGCCGCACTCTCTACTCGCTCGCCAAGGCCGGCAGCGCCCCGGCCATCTTCACCCGCTGCAACCGCCACGGCGTGCCCTACTATGCCGTGCTCGTCAGCTCGCTCTTTTCGCTCCTCGCGTACATGGACTGCAGTGCGGGTGCCAGCACGGCCTTTAACTGGTTCGTCAATGTGACTAATACGGCCGGGTTCACCTCCTGGACCTGCTGCGGGATCATCTTCCTACGGTTTCGTGCTGCCTGTAAAGCCCAGGGTCTGGCGGGTAAGGATCTGCCGTATCGCTCGTCGCTGCAGCCGTGGATGGGCATGATCGCCACCGCCATCTGTCCGATTCTGTTACTGTGCAATGGCTTCGAGGTGTTCTTCCACGGCGAATGGAGTGTCTCTGGGTTTCTGACCTCGTACATGGGGTTATTTGTCTTTGTGACGGTGTTTGCAGCCCATCGGATCGTGCGGTGGCGCGACGGATGGACGATTCCATCCGACCAGGTGGACTTGGTGTCTGGGTTGGACGAGGTGGAGGCCTTGGCTGAAGAGGAGACAGCCGAGAAGGGATTTTGGAGACGGGTGTGGGATTGATTTCCATTCTGTGAATATACCTTGTTTGATTGATATTTATGTGAGAAATTGATCTTATGTACTGCATTCATTCTATCTACATCATAACTTCGCCAGCAACCCATTCGTCTCCAAGATCCCCAAATGACTCGGCGCGATATCCGCAATAGTCCGACATCTGCGCAGCATTAGTACCCCCCCAACACACAAAGAACAGATTACTCACCCCGTCAACTGCATCGTGCGACAAAACTCATCATAGATAATCTTGACCGCCAAATCCACCCCCTTCTCGCCATTATACTGCGCTCATCAGCATCACCCCACCCCATACCCAGGAGAAACCAAACTTACCGCCAACCCCCAAATGGGAATCCGACCCACAAAGCAAATCGACGCCCCCAGCGCAAGGGCCTTGAAGACATCCGCGCCGCGACGAATCCCCCCATCAATGGCGAGAGGAATCTTTCCTTTCGCCACGGGGGCACAAATGCGCAGGGCGTCCAATGTCGCAGGGACGCCGTCGAGTTGCCGACCCCCGTGGTTGGAGATGATGATGCCGTCGACTTTGTGGTCGATTGCTAACTGGACGTCTTCGGGGGAGTAGACTGCCATCGTCAGCTCGCCCTAAGATAACTAGGTGGGGGTGTTGGGGG